CCCCCCCCCCCCCCAAACCCCGATGAAGTTGGGATTATACTAGGTTGTTGTTGTACCGTAGACATAGGCTCTGGGGATTGTTGACATGAATGAATAACAAACTCATTTGAATGGCTTATTTTACATTTCAAACTCATTTCCTAAAAATGAGATTTTTAAGAAAGTGGACAACAAATTTCTTTTCCCACGACTCCTCCACTAATGTATTCATTCATTTTTGTTGTCTAAGGTCTCCTGACTCAGCAAGGGTTAGGAACAAGATGATATATGCAAGTACCAAAGACAGATTCAAGAGGGAGTTGGATGGCATTCAGGTGGAACTTCAAGCCACCGATCCAACCGAAATGGACCTTGACGTCCTTAAAAGCCGTGCTAACTAAGTGTTGTTCTTCCAGATCAATAGACTTCCTAGTTCCTACTGATAGAACTCGGTGCAGTCTTCTTTCTTCTTTTACTTGGTCGAATGTTTTTATGGTTTGTTAAAACAGAAACTTGGGTGGCGATAATATTGATTGTCAAGTGCTGCCATTACGGTCCTCTATTTATTTCGGCGAACAAATATGTGGTGTCTGGTATATGAGTCGATTCGAAATTCACTTGGTGTGAAATTTGGTTGTGTTTGTTATTTTTGTTGCCTTTGAACTTCATATATTGGTATTTTTCACTTTGCTCTACTCTCTCTTGTGACCAGCATTTTGAATGTTTTGTTTTGTTGCTGGAATTGAAGTCCTGCCTGGGTAAGTTCTTCTGTTTCACCTTAGCTCTGCCATATGATTTTCTAGTCATTTTGCCCTAAATTTCAATTCTGACACACACACACACACATATGTATATATAAATACATTTTGTTGTTCTTTGAAGGTGCGAAACATTTTGTTAGAAATGCGTAGCAGCTTCATTATTTTGTTGCTTGAGGGAAAGATTTGATTTACATGTTGGAGTGTCAATACAAGAAATATTGGGTCAACCATACAGTTTGTGATGTGCTTAGACAATGTGTTGATGATACTAACCAAATGCTTGTCAAAGAAATGTCAAATTCATCATGTCAAAAGTTTTATGATATCTGACAATGGTCAACCAAACAATTTTGAAGAGTGTTTTGAATCACCATTTTGCAAAGATGTTTCCTCTTCAAAATATAACATACCTCAAAATTGTTATTCACTCCCTCTATCTCTCATAGTTATTTCCATCAGCTCTTTTTATTTGTCTCTCATGAATCATTCCATGACCTTTTTTAACATATAAAATATCAGAATTATATTCACTTACTTTATTTATTACGGAGTACATATCACCACCACATTTAGTATATTTTACTAACTTTCATTAAGAGTATTTTGATAAAATATCACATTTTTAACTATCCTTAAAAATTACAGAAGTTGAAATGAGAACATGTTAGGAGGACGTATGGAGTAAAACAATTTGGTTTGAAGGTTATTTAAAACAATTGACTATTGTGAGACGCTTTGATGTTGTTCTATATATATACAATAGCAACTTAGGGGCTGTTTGGCAACTTCTGAATGGGTAAGTGCTGAACCAGTAAGAGGTCTGAACCATTAAGTGCTGAACCAGTAAGAGGTCTGAACCATTAAGAGCTAGTATATTGCTTAACTATTCAGGGGCAAATGTCTGATCAATTCAGATAAGAGGTCTTAACCATTCAGACTCTGTATAATACTTAACCATTCAGAGGCAAATCTCTTAACCATTCAGACATCTGAACCATTAAGAGGCTGAAACAAACAGTCTGAACCATTAAGTACTGAACCATTCAGACATCTGAACCATTAAGAGGCTGAAACAAACAGCCCCTTAGACGCTTGTAAAATTTATAGCAATTTGAGATTTAAATTAAAAAATCCAGAAAAAAAAAATTCATAAAAGATTTCTTGTAAAAAAATGTTATTTTACCATAACTCCAAGATTGCAAAGAACGCATGTATGCATTCATAAAAACAAGTTTATGAGGCTCCAAAAATACTTCTCACATGTTTTATTTTTTTTAAAGTTATGAATATATAATTCAAAAGATTTCTCTAACCATAAACTATTTTATTTCATTTTTTTTAAAAAAAACTCAATGAAAATCAAACTGGCTATTTTTTTTTGGGACGAGAAGGGTACAAGGAATGTTTGGGAAATTTACTTAGATAGTACTAAAACATAGTGACTTTCCCAATATAGTACTATATGTTTTTATTTTTCAATGTAGTACTACTCTTCATTGTCCACTGATCATTCTTCAAGTAAATGTCTACCGCCACTGGACATTGTTCAAACTAAATATCCACCATCACTGACATTGTTCTCGGTACTAGACATTATTCAAGTATTATTTAGAGAATAAAAAAGTTTAAGTACTACATTGGAAAATGACATAAGTTTTAGTAACAAATTTTACGAAATGTTTAGCATTCTTGTATTGGGCCATTGTTTGCGTATAGGGGCCTCACTACCAATTATTTGTTTTACATTTGGACTTGGAAGCCCAACTCGAAGTCTCGAATCCATTCTACTATAATCAATCATAGCACCTTTAGATGGGCTTTGGGTAGCATGCCATCTCAATCGTTCCTGTTCTTCTTCTTCTTCTTCTTCCTCTTCTATCCAACCCTGCTTCTGGTAATTTCTTCTTCTACAATCCATCTCCGTTTTTCGCCGCTCCAACTTCCCGCCTGATCAGGTATTCTCATTCAGGAAGTTATTTATGGAGGCATGAAACGCAATCCACTAGATGTTTTTATCGTTAGTGAAGTTTTAGATCTATGATCGAAATTCGAATCTGAAATTCTGCTGTTCAGATCTTCTATTGCCCCTGTTTATTTTTATAAGCGTGTGTATGAAACGCCACTGTATTTGTCGTATTTTCACGTATCATACAAGTTCTTAAAAGCTGCATTTTTTTTCAGTTTTTTGAACTGAATAAAATTCCGGTATTTTAATTTTTTTAGTTTTGGCTAGTACATTGGTAAGTTTTTATCAGGGGTTTTTTATTGCTTAAATGCTTAGGAAAAAGATAGGTTTTAAAGGCTGGATTGGTGGTGTGAGAATGGTGAACATTTTTAGTTGAATTTATATAGCGAGAGGACGTCGTGTATGAACACCTTTTTTTGGATGGGGGTGAAATGAAAAAGGTTTAATTTTTTAATTAAGAACCACAAGAAATCTCCAATTTTTGCTATGTTTGGTCTTTTGCAGTATCATGCAGTCTGCACAACTCTATCTCTATATTTTATTGAAAACAACAACCCACAAAGTAGGGACTTGGGAGGGTTAGTGGTTGAAAGGCTGTTTCCAAGAAATCCGCAGCTCAAAACATGAAAAACTAATAGAAAGAGAGGAACAAAAAAGAAACATGTGCGCACATAGATACAACAAACTAAAACAAATTTGAGCAGTAAATCCTACACAAGAGCAGACCACTCTCCAAGGCCTACACCTCCACCCTAACCCTAGACCCTCAAACATTTCTAAGGCAAAACACCAGTATCCCCCGTTAGGTTCTAAAACGTTACCAAATGAAATGTTACATTTATGATACTATAACTATGTGTTGAAATCAACACGATTACTTGTCAATGTATTGCTTTTTTTTATATTTTGAGTAAAACATACTCCGTATATTATTGTTGAAAACAACAGGGGCTGAAAATGAAAGCAAATTATCACAGTTACACATTGTGAATCCGCAACACAAGAGTAGCACATGCCTGTCCATAGACTCCTAGAGAGACTACTTCTAACCTTTTAAAGAAGTGTTTTTTCTTCTGTATGTTATGAATGGAATTGAAAAACAATATATGCGAGATAGATCTATATCTTTGAATGGATATTGATCTTTACACCAATTTAAATGATGAATTGTACTATAGAACCAATGTTTTTAAAGATGAAATATAGCCTCGAGTAGGTGGTACACTTTGGTTTGAGGCGTAAGTCTCTAGTCGGAATGAGGCATAGGCCTGAATTTGACTTGAAAAAAAAAATAAAAGTGTAAGTTCTCCAGGTATACAAAATGCATTTGTCTGGCTTAAGCCTCTGAGGCTTAAAAAGCTTAGCCTTTGTGCGTCTACGCCTCAAGGTGGTATGTCTCAAATGCTTTTGAAAACCATGGATAGAACTGGTGGAGGTTCTACAAAATTCAGTGCCACATTGTTTAAAAAATTCCCACAGGCTTTACTGATTGTACCTTAGAAATCTGGTCATGAACTTCAGAAAGCTTGTAAATCCATTTCACATCTTATTTATGTTTCAATTCTAGAATGTTCATCTATTATGTACTTTTAATTTCCATAAACAAACTCTGTTAAGTATTTCACTTGCCTGTGATGGTGCATAAAAGCCCGATAATGGACAACTTTTTGTATGATCATCCAACCTTGCTTTTGCCTGTACCACTGTACCTGATTGATAATTTGATATGTAACGAAACTCTGAAAGTTTTGGTTATTTTTTGTATGCATGGGTCCACAATTAATTAATGTTCCACAGACCACAATCATAAGTGGTGCAACTGTATTACTGTATCAGTTGGATATGTTGGGATAATTGGCAAAAAAACTGCATAAATAAATAAATAAATATATATATATATAGTAAGATTTGGTAGTCACGATATTTGTAATACATATTGTACTATGAATAGTAGTGCAATGTTATATTTATTACGAATTGTAATGTTACCTGCAGATTCTTGAAAATGGGTAGTTATGCTAAACCTGAGAATGCTTTGAAGCGTGCAGAAGGTTAGTGATACTGAACTCTCTAATTATCAAAACCATTAAAAGATCTTTTTTTGCTATACAAGACTGTGCTATATATCTTTTATACAATTGACAACTAGGCTTTGGCGACTTATATAAGAATGCTTAATTTTCATAGTTTCATACTCGTACTTACTGTTTTATGTTGGTGCAGAGTTTATCAATGTTGGTCAAAAGCAAGAAGCCCTGCAGAGTCTTCATAGTCTTATCACCTCCAGGAGGTACAGGGCATGGCAAAAGCCGCTTGAGAGAATCATGTTCAAGGTTGTGGAGCTGTGTGTGGATTTGAGAAGTGGAAGATTTGCCAAAGATGCTCTCATTCAATATCGAATTTCCTGCCAGCAAGTTAACATTAACTCATTAGAGGAGGTGATAAAACTTTTTTTGCATCTTGCCACCGAGAGAGCTGAATTGGCACGCACCCAAGCCCAGGCACTAGAGGAAGCTTTGGATGTGGATGATTTGGAGGCAGATAAGAGGCCTGAAGATTTGATGCTGAGTTGCGTCAGTGGAGAGAAGGGTAAAGACCGATCTGATCGTGAGCTTGTCACTCCTTGGTTTAAATTTTTATGGGAGACATATAGAACTGTGCTTGAAATCTTGCGAAACAATTCCAGGCTTGAGGCTTTGTATGCTGTAAGGCCAACTGATTTCTCTCTTTTATCTCTCTTTCCTATACTTCATATATTGTATGTTTTGTGTGTGTTTGTATTGATTGTTTTTTTCAACAATGTATAGATGACAGCGCACCGGGCCTTCCAGTTTTGCAAGCAGTACAAACGGACAACAGAGTTTCGTCGTCTTTGTGAAATCATTAGAAACCATCTTGCAAACCTAAACAAGTACAAAGATCAGAGGGACCGTCCTGATCTTTCTGCTCCAGAAAGTTTGCAGTTATACCTGGACACTAGATTTGAGCAGCTAAAAGTTGCAACTGAACTTTGTCTGTGGCAGGTCTGTGTGGTTCTCTTGGCATATTTGTTTATGTTTATATGGAACGGTTCACAAGGAGTATTCATTTCAAGCATTCTAAGAAGCATACACTTGTATAAATAATCCGAATCCATTACCATTTTGCAGGAAGCTTTTCGCTCCATTGAAGACATTTATGGATTGATGTGTCTTGTTAAGAAAATCCCTAAAACATCGTTGTTGGCTATTTACTATGCTAAGCTTACTGAGATATTTTGGATATCATCCAATCATCTCTATCATGCTTATGCATGGCTCAAGCTTTTCTCCCTCCAAAAAAGCTTCAGTAAGAACATTAGCCAAAAAGATTTGCAGTTGATAGCATCATCTGTTGTCTTAGCAGCACTTTCAGTGCCACCATACGATCATTTATATGGTGCATCTCATTTGGAGCTTGAAAATGAGAAAGAGAGGAGTTTTCGGTTGGCTAATTTGATAGGATTTGATGTGGAACCAAAAGCCGAGAGCAGAGAAGTGGTAATTTTTAGTGTTTGCTTTTATCTATGTGTTATTTAACCAACTTACCCTTATGTGTCTGCTCTATATGCATTAGCTGATGGAATCATTTTTTTGTCCAGCTCTCCCGTTCTTCTCTTCTTTCAGATTTGGTAAGCTACTTATTTTCATTGTTTTGCTATGCAAAGAAATAAATTTATTGTTATCATTATTTTATGATATATGCTTTTAATAAAGTAATAAACTATAGTGCACTGATTGTGGGAACTAAGAAACAAGGCAGTTTGCAGAAATGTGAATTCAGTATCATTCATCTGTGCAATTGCACATTGTGTTTCCTTGTAGCTCCAGTAACCTTTATTTTCTTTTTCAATTTTTTGATATTTATCTTTAGGTTTCCAAAGGTGTAATGACATGCGCTACTCAGGAAGTGAAAGATCTTTACCACGTCCTCGAGAATGAATTTCTTCCTTTGGATCTGGCATTGAAAGCACAACCTTTATTGATCAAGATCTCAAAATTTGGGGGTAAACTTATGTCAGCTTCATCTGTGCCTGAGGTTCAATTGTCTCAGTACATTCCTGCTTTGGAAAAATATGCTACCCTGAGGTTGCTGCAGCAGGTGTGCATTTATTTATCAAATGTACTTTTGACATTGGATATTAAGTTTTTTAAGGTAAATTGGATTTTATGATGCTCCCGTGAAACTGAATTGTTTCCTTTCACCTCTTTTTTTCAGGCATCTCAAGTGTATCATACAATACAAATTGAAAACTTATCTAGAATGGTCCCTTTCTTTGACTTCACTGCTGTTGAAAAGATTTCAGTGGATGCTGTTAAGCTTAACTTTGTTGCCATTAAAATTGATCATATGAGGGGTGCTGTATACTTTGGCAAACAGGTTCTCATGTCTTCCACAATTAATAAAATCTCTGTTTTTTCGTTGTAACTTCACGTGCATGCCTGTTTGTTTGGAGTATGTAATCTGTCATTTTACTTTGTTTTTCTTGTTCTTTTTTTTATGTTTTAGAGTATTGAATCAGAAGGCCTTCGAGATTACTTGTCTGCCTTGGCCGAGTCCTTGAGGAAAGCAAGGGTAATGATCTACCCTCCTACGGAAAAAGCTGCAAAACTTGGAGATGCAGTTATTGGGTTGACAGAAGTAGTTGAGAAAGAACACAAGAGACTTCTTGCTCGGAAGTCAATCATTGAGAAGCGCAAGGAAGATCAAGAACGGTTGCTCCTTGAGAAGGTTTCTACTACTTGGTTGCATTTTCCTATATGTTACATAAATGTTTTTACGTGATAAGATTATATAAATGTTCATGTTATAAATTTAAAGGAACGTGAGGAAGAATTGAGAAGACTAAAACAACAAAAAATAACTGAAGAGGCTGAGCAGAGAAGACTGGCTGCTGAGTTTGAGGAGCGAAAGAATCAAAGAATTCTCAGGGAAATTCAAGAGAGAGAGCGGGAAGAAGCCCGAGCTAAACTGGAAGAATCTCAAAAAGGCACTAAAAAGAAGGGGAAAAAACCAATACTAGATGGAGTATGTACACTTCTGGCCTTTTTTTTCTTTTTCTTCTCTTCTTATACCTTAAACATCTTTGGAGTTTTGAAATTGCTATTTGTATGTAGGAAAATATAACTAAACAGACTGTGATGGAATATGTTCTGAGTGAGCAACTCAGGGAGAGACAAGAAATGGAGAAAAAACTGCAAAAGTTTGCCAAGACTATGGATTATCTGGAGAGAGCTAAAAGAGAGGAGGCGGCACCTCTAATACAAGCTGCCTTTCAACAGCGGCTAGAGGAAGAGGCTGCTCTCCATGAACGAGAACAGCAGGTCTGCCTAAGAATAAGCTGTTGTTTGTACTCATTTTTTAATCTATAATTCCTATTCCATTGAAACTAATGATTTGATACCTAATCTGATACTTAAGAATTTCTATCAGCTGATCAATTGTGTACTATTTCTCTTTCCAGCAAGAGGTTGAGTTAAGCAAACAACGACATACAGGCGATGTTTTAGAGAAGAAGAGGCTGAGTCGCATGATGGAGAACAAGGTGTGTATCTTATTCTACTCTCGTTGATATCTATTTATGATAATATGTGTTCATCATGTGACGCTTCGTGGATGCTATTACTGTTATTGAACTTTGCTTATTCTCCTTCTAGAAAATTTTTGAAGCAAGAATTATCAGTCGTAGAGATGCTGAACAAAGTAGAATGAAAAGGGAGAGGGAGGAACGCATTAACCAGATTATCCAGTCTCGGAAACAAGAAAGGGAAGCTAAGAGGAAGATGATATTCTTTTTGAGAACTGAAGAGGAGCGTCTAAATAAGTTGCGTGAGGAGGAGGAAGCTCGTAAGCGTGAAGGTATTTTATCTTTTCCTATGACGCATTCATATAAATATTCAAGTTTTCCATTTTTTATTTTTCCCTCTTTTGTCCACACTTGCATAAAGCCGAGGGGTATGGGATGAGAAGGGGCAACGGGAAAGCGCCAGGTCAGCGCGGGAAGGAGGGGAACACCGCCCCCTTTGACGGGAGCGGGAAGGACGGCTTCCCCATCCCGTTTTTCCCGTTGCTATTTACCGAGTTTTTTTAAAGAGCCAGAGAGAGTAATTAAGGCATCAAGGGGTAGTTTTATTTAGCTTTTTTGTTTTTTTTTCTATTTTTAGTTTTTTAGTTTTTAATATTAGTTTTTTTTGTCTAATGCAATTTAAAAAAATTATGGAGTAAGAAAAATAAATTTAATGAAATGTTTTTTTTAGGGAATGACATGTTAATTTAATTATGTACCTTTACTTTTTTTATTATCTACTTTTAAATTAAATCATAACGAAATGTTTAACTTAAGTTTTTAGTTTAATTAAATTAAAATAATTGTTAAAAATAATACTCCGTATCAAAAATGGAGGGGAAAGAGGGAGGAAGGGGAACCACACCCCTGAAAGGGGGGGATGAAAAAGGAGAGTAAAACGGAAAGCTGACGTGGTGTTGAGTTGTTAGTTGGCGATGATGAGAACCATACCCCTCAGCCTAACATTTAGCCCCTATTGTTTGGTATTGTTGTGCATATACATTACCAGTTCATATATTTTACAAGTATTTTTAGTTAAAAATCCCCTCTCCATTCAACGAAACATATTGTTTTATTTTTTATTTTTTTCACAACTCAACTTTCTCCTTCCGTACATTTGAATGTGGTGATGGGTATGGTCCAAATATGGTATCGGTCATCTTTGTGGTTGCGTGTTTAACTTCATAACAGAAATGGAGAAGCGCAAGAAAGAAGAAGCGGAGCGCAAGGCCAAACTGGACGAGATTGCCGAAAAGCAGAGGCAAAGAGAGTTGGAACTTGAAGAGAAGGAGAGGAAGAGGAAAGAACAGCTCCTGGGCAAGTCCGAGCCCGTAGCACGTCTCCCAGAAGCTGCCCCAACTGCCCCAGCTGCAGCAGCACCGGCGCCTACAAATAAGTACGTGCCCAAGTTCAAGCAGAGGATGGGGGAAGGTGCATCCCAGGTGGCGGCACCGGCGGCGGCTCCTCCTCCGGAAACCGAAAGATGGGGCGGAAGCCGCCAAGATGACAGGGAGAAGTGGGGCGGTGGCAGCAGGGGAGGAGGGTGGCGCGATGATCGTGACCGAAAACCATTCGGTGCTGGCTCAAGGCCAGGAACATGGTCCTCTTCTAGGAGCCGTCCATAACGCCAACTAGTAAGTTGATACATAATTTATATGGCACTTCCCATTTCCCTTAACAAGGCACAATCAATCTCTTGAGTTTTTTCAAGAAATCGGCGTTTATTCGTTCAAACATTTTGACAAGTTTTCTTTTGGGCACATCAGGAGGAAAATGACATTTTGTTTCATGATTTTAGTCTCATTGTGACAAGTTTTTCTTAAATCAAGTTTCAAGGTTCAAACCAAATGAAAAGATTAGTGGACTTGTAGCTCTTCCTTGTTTTGGGTCTACCAAATGTGAGATTTGACATTGGTGAGTGGGTATTGTCTCTCTTAATATTTGTCATTTTATGTGTGTTTTAGAATATGATCAAATTTTGGGGGAATTAGTGGCAATTTAAGTTTTGAGAATGACAATATCAACACCCTTCGGATTAGGTTATCTTTGCTTTTATTCTATCCTAAGATGACAAGTACGTGAATGCCTTGTATCTATTGTGATGAATTGGCGAATACCATTCTTGTGGGGGCGCATTAATAATATTTCTTCTTTGTCTCATTTTTTTTCTTTTCCATTTGATTTTTCACGGTCTAATGTAATATGTCATTCATTAATACTTCTATTTATGTAATATAAAAATAAACTATAAAAATATGATATTTTAAAACTACATTTCAAAGTGAATCTATTGATATTAAATTTATTTATAATTTAATATTTTTTTTAATATTTGTGTTCAAAGTTTCAAAATAATAATAATTATTATTATTATAGTCAAAGTGAGATGTATTAAATTTAGTTCATTATTCAATGTATTTTTTTTTTCATAATTTGTGTTTAACGTTTAAAAATACTACTAACAATAAATAATAATATTCCAAATGAGAAAGGTATTGGGGCAAACCAATCATAATAATATACTGTAATCAAGTATTCCACCCACCATCAAATCTCTACATTGTGCACCAATAATTTAGTTATTTTTTTATGTGTCATTCTAAAGTTGATGTTTATGGATTTTAAGAGCTGAAAAAAGTAAAAATTTATTAAAATACCTTTATAGTGTGTTTGGAAACTTGAGATTGGATTTTTAATCCAAATTTGATCCTAATTACTTGTTTGGGAATTCAAAGAATTTGGATTTGGATTTAGACTAAATTATTTTGATTCAAAATAAACTTAACTACAAATTAACACTTCTTTCCATGTCATTTACAAATTCAAATCCAATTTTTCTTTAATTTAGAACTTGTAATTAAAGACTGATATCTTCTAATGTAATAATAATTCCATACATATCAATCCGCTTCTGTAACCGTCTCTGCCTATTTCAAAATTCAAATTCTAGAATTGAAATTCTACGACTTTCCAAACAACATTTGGTATTTGAAATTATAGAAATTCAAATTTTAGAATTGAAATCTAATATTTGAAATGAATTCTAGTTCCAAAATACCACCTTATTGAGGTAGGTGAGATGTAATAAACAATGAAGTAATTGTGGTATTTTGAAGAGTAAAAAAAGAAATGGGAAAATCTTTTGTGGGTAAACAAAAAGATCATTTAGGAAGATATATGACGGACGAAGAGAGTATATTTTCTCAATTGAATTAAATTATGAACAATTTTTTTCTATAAAAAGTATAAATTGAGTCAAAATATTGCAGTTTAAGAGACTAGAAAGTAGGAACAAGTTAAAGTCAATTCGTTGGAATAAGAATTAAAAATATTTAAAAATAACAAATGAAAATGTATGGCTAATAAATTAATTTAACATATTTGCATTAACGGTTTAATTAAAAAAAGTAACTCTCACTTTTTTATTCTCATTTTGAGAATTTGTCTTGTACTATTTTGAAAACATAACTAGAATCATATTTTTCAATTTAGTGTCATATAAATATGTAATGCTAGGTTCACAAACAAAATGATTACTAACCTTTCAAATTTACTATTTATAATTTAAATTCTCATTTTAAAATTATTTTAGATTATTTTATTTTTTTTATTGAAGTTCGATCATATATAGTAAATTTGTAAAATTTGTGACAATTATCTCTGTGAACCAAACATTCCCCAGAAATAATATTCCATATTTGTGTCTAACCCCATCAAAATGAGATATAATAAATATGACTAGAGAGAAATATGACCATAATTACGAAATGATACAACACTTGCCATTACTCAAAAATTAATACAGGAAGATTCCATACCTTACATTAAAGGCTCTAATGATATGTTCCACGATCCATAACATGGAGTACAATTAATTATTATTATTATTATTATTATTTGTTGCATACCCACTAAGACTTATAAATAGACAATAGAGTAAACAATAAAAACACAACTAGAATTTCACATGTTCTGAGATTCCTTGATCAATTGATTGCTGAAATCCCAAAGCTTTTTGCCCAAAGCTTCCTTTCTAGCCAGCTTTGATGGCTTGCACTCGTTGCAATCAACAAAGTACTTTCCCGACACGCCTTTCAGATCGGGGTGAAGAGCCACATAACAAGTTGTAGCCGCGCCCTGGTTTGAACACCAAACGAATTTCATCAAATAATAGTAATAATTACTCTTTCTTTTTTAAACTCGTAATTTTCTCACTCCGATTTAACCTAATTATCTCTTAAAAGCAAAAGTCTTTAGAAAATGAACGACTAATTCTGGACGGAGAGTGTATACAAATATAGTTTATACTAATCAGGGATAATTAACATACTTCCTATTAATTAATCAATCTAGTGAAAGTGTTTTGTTTTTGTGTTGCTAAATAAAATGGTTTACATACCTGGGGGACATTCTTCCAAATCACACAAGTGAAAATCCTCAAAATATCTACAAAAATTGAAAGCGTTTTCATAATTAATTAATTTCTCTATTCATTCACCCTCGGCTGGCCTTTATAACTTGTGAAATGTATGTAAAAGGTTGAATGAACATTGACACGCATCGTGTCTATATTCATTCAATTTTTGATGTATCACAAAAGTCATAATGATCACCTAATTATGAAATGAAAGAAGCACATTTAGACTTTGATATTATACTCCATAATTTATAAGTGATGTGATTTGGTGAATATGATGTATTTATACATACTCATCAAAAGGGTTGAGTGTCTCATAAGATTGGTCATTATCACCCCTGGGTGCACTGAATTCACACTTATATTTGCTCCCTCTTCCTGCACCAATATTCAAAATTCATGTGTTCAAAATTCAAATATTTATTTGTATAAAAGTGGCAATTTGGTATTTGCGACCTATAAGTTGACTGTTGACTATCACATTTTAGATTTGACTCTATTCTGTTACTCCTTTCGTCACAAAAAATATTTTCATGTTTTGATTTTTTTGTCAAACAGTGACATTTGACACTATTTAATTTTAAACTAAACATGATTTATGTAATAAATGTTATGCAATTTTGATGCATTACGAGTATATCCTAAGATGATAAAAATTGACTTCATTTTTGTATCAATGCTTGACTAAAAAAGTACAACCTCAGATGAACTTGCATGTTTTACTACAATATTATTTAACTCCAAATCAAATGAGTAACAAAAATTAGTTAAACTAAAATAAAATTTGATTGTGGGAAATAATATTCTAAGTTTGGTTACCCGTAGACGTCGAGACAACTCATTGGCATGCAATATATTTGCCAGCTTGGACTGTCCATAGGCCATTTTGTCATTATAACTGATTTAAATTCAAGTGAAAAAGAAATGTGAGTTGAGAAATACAATTTGAACTACATCAAATGTAATGTGGGGCTTAGTTTAAATGACAAAAAAAGGTGCAAAAAAAAATGATAGTGATTGAACAAGAAATGAAATAAAAGGTTATAATGGTAATTGATTACCTTTTCTTATCATTGATGTGGTCGAACTTTATTCCTTTTCTGTAAGGGTAGCGGTGGGCTATTGACGACAGATTGACAATTCTGCCCTCGATGCCAGAAGTCTTTGCAGTTTCCTTCATTGTGTCCAGGAGAAGGTTTGTCAAGTAAAAATGACCTGAAAAAAATAAATAAATAATGAGTATATATAATTTTACCGTCTCCAAAACAATGTCGGATCCACATTCAAGCAGATCTGGACAAATTTTCGAACGCAACAATGAAAATATAAAATTATATTAATGATCAAACATAGACATTATAAATAGGGAAAAAAAATTTCTCATTTTTCAGACTTGCCGGTCCAACCCAAAAACCATCTGTCCGATTTTGGACCGGATCAGAATGATACCAGTTCTCAACCCTTGGACTGAAAACCAACTTGGAAATCAATCGATCTAACCCGAAACCGATTCTTTCAGTCTGATCTGAACCAGTTTGTGTTCACCCTTATTATCATTAGTGAGAGGAAAAAAATTAATTAACAAGATGAATGTGTTTACCAAGATGGTTGGTTGCAAATTGCATCTCATGCCCATCTTGGGAAAGCTCAAATGGGGTGAACATGATGCCTGCATTGTTTCTGCACTCCAAACGTTAATATATAGATTAATGAATTAATAAGAATCATTAGTTGAACTAGATAATTGATTAAATCCTATCTCTTAGCACATTTCAGTCTAAGCGTGTTGTTATACTTCATCCATTTCACAAAAACTATCTATTAAAGTTTATTTGATGCATTAAATTTTGAATAAATGCAGACATATCTAAGTCTACATTCATTCAAAATCTAATAATCCGTATTCCTTAATACACAGTTATTGTAAAATGGAAGGATTAGGTCATAATGTAAAACAAAGCTTTTATTCTTTTCAATATATTCTTATTATTTACTCTGCATTAGTTATCCTTAAAAGAATCAGATCAGACTAAATCAAAAATTATTTTTAACTTAGCTAGAATTAGATCAAACCAGACAAACCGAACTTCTTACATCAAGATGTTGAGAGGGAGAGAAAGGGCTTTGAAGTCATCAGCAAAAGCCTTTATGGATCTCAAGGAGGAGAGGTCAAGTTTCATGACATCAACTCGGGCCGTTGGGTTGTCTTTCAAAACGTGGGCTTTGGCCTCTTTTGCGGCCTCTGTGTTTCGGGCCGCTATGATGACATGGGCCTTCCTCAGTGTTAACACCCTCACCGTCTCCAGCCCAATTCCACTCCCACCGCCTGCATTCACATTCATATTCACCATCCAAAACTTAGCAATATATATCGTACAACTTGTTTTAAGGTGTTTTTCGTACATTCGCGATGAATGTATTCATTTTTCTATGTTCCAAAATGAGTATTTAGTTACTTGAAAAGGAGTATTCAAGTGGATATACGAGAAACACCATACATCTGAATGTATGATATAGGTACTCCCCAAATTTAGATAAATTCTTGTATAATTCCAAGGTTATTATGAAAAAGAGTGTTTCTTTGGTGCACTCTGGGTGCATATCATTTTTGTGGACCTTTTTACATAAAAAATATTTTTTTATTTTTTTATTTAAAAAAAAACAAATGCTTATTTTGCTCTTGGGTTCATGGTGAACCTTAAATCCATTATAAAATTTGCCTATAAAAATATCGATCTTTTCACGAAAGTAATAAGTTATTACTTGAAGTAAAATGTTCCTAAATAGGAATAAAATGGCATGAAGATATAAAAATAAGAATAATAAAGTTTTAATTTCCTAAATAAGAGTATGATTGCAATGTGGCAATGTAGTAGTAGACTACTATTTCTTTTTTAGGATGAATTTTTTTTATTTGTTAAGACTTAAAGAGAACATTTTTTAATTCTCTTTTTGAAATAATTCATCAAGTTCAATTCCCTTCTACACCTTGTGTGCCGAATTTATCATTCTATATATTTTTTTAGTTTGTTTCAAAATAATTATTCAACTTCCTCATTATCTTAATAAAATAAAAAACATATTGTCACAATTTCTTTTCCTTTCTAAAAAATTTTTAACTACTAACTATTTTAATTTTTTTACATTTTTCTTAGACTCATGAAAATAAATTAAGATAATTAATTCCACACAGGTAAAGTAATAAGTAAATGGGGGGCCAATTTGCAGCCATTGTGTACCTAACAGGCTTGAAGTTAATAAATCAATATCATAGGTAGTCCTACACACCCCACACCCATGCCATGAGTTGGGTGACCCATGCCCTACTTAAAATGAACTCCTATAATTTCTATAGGTCCCAAAATTAAATTTAAGGTAAAAAAAAAAACAGAATTTGCACGAAGTACAAAATAAATCCTTTTTTCTGAAGTGTTTGTCTAGTTTTAATTTTTTTGAAATTAATCAAAATCAATCTTTGATTTATAATTAAAGTATATGATATACTCTATCCATTTCACAAAACATTTCCGATCTAATTTTCCGCGCATCCTTCAAAACACTTCTACCCAACTTCAAATGTCTAAAATGCACTCCCATTTCGTAGTTTGTTGCGGGTAGAAGTTATTTCGAGGATATTTTAGGTGGAGTATAAGTGTTTTGTGAAGTGTACAAAAAATTAGGACAAGAGTATTTGTGAAACGGAGGAACTCTAACCATAAAAAAACCAAAATGGACAAACATTCCTGGACTTTTAATAAGTCACTTTAAATAATTTTTTGTTAAAAAATTTTAGAAAATATTGTTAGTTAAATGTTTGGTATGAAAAGCAATACAAACAACTAAAAGAGAATAGAGGGAGAAGGAGAAACAAAACGGAAACAAACTACTCTTTTATGTCGTTTTAAATTCTTTACACTTCCAAATTAGCATTAATGAGGTTATTAAAAATATATTTCACTTTTTGTGTACACTTTTTCACATCATCTTTAATATCGTGCCAGCAGTTTCACTCCCCCTATCAGACCATGTCTTATGGTCAGACTTGACAGGAAATTGACGGAACTTGACGGAGTATAAAGAAATATGACGTGAGATAATAAAAATATGTGTGTCATGGGGATGAAAAAGGGACGTGACAAAAAGTGATGAGGTGAAGATGCGAATTATTTTAATTGGTTAAAAAGTGACGCCACTTCCGTCTAGCCCCATATAGCCTTATTTTAGTAATGTCATTTTCAAGGTAAATGCGACTATTAATTAACATTTTTATTTTATTTTATTTGTCTAAAATTCCTTGATATTTTTTCTATTAATATTGGAAAGGGACTATGATAGATTGGTAGGTACATAACAACTAACAAGACGCAAGTCAGTTGTAAAAGAACAACTAACACATTAATCTTGCGAATAAACCTAGCGGTACATTAAAATGGGGTAACCCATTTGTACACCAGAGAAACACAGATATTTAGTGTCTGCAGATCACAGACACTAAATGTCTATGTTTGTCTGTATTTGTCTGGTGTACAAATGAAGTATATCATTTTAGTCTATCCTAGCATGCCCCTAATTTGGGGGATATTTGTATTTCACCATTTTGGCCACCAATCAACCTATAGAGAACAAAAATGACGTTTTAGGCCTTTTTGTTTACTTTTTGACTACTACACCTATTAATCTAATAAAAAATAGGTAGAACAATCATCCTAGGCGTCTCACATTCTGGTCTAATGAGATAGTGAGAATAAATTATGATACAATCTTTTCCGATCATTCAAAAGACTGTCTCGTGCCTGATTATTTTGCTTATTAATCTATTATACCATTTATACATTACTTAAAGAGATTTATATTTATATCTTGTATGGAGTAAAAATCAGTACTATGTAATATTCATTTGTATTTTGTATGTAGTATAATACAAAGAACCAGATACTACATTATAATGAAATTATTAGAATTCAAAAAAGAGTAACAGAAAAACAATCTACTTAAAAAACCTTCTTATTTACTGTTAGAGTTTTAATAAAAGCCTTTGTTTTGGCTTTGACTAATTGGCTTATTTGACTTGGGCCCGTTTCATAATAGCGATTAGAGTTTAACTTTAATGTTTTGAAAATGCTATCTAATATTAGGATTTGGCGTAAAATCTTCAAAATTAATTTACAGTTTAATTATTTTCTAAATGTTATTTCCATACAAACTCTTGAATTTAATTTGTGCACTGAAACAACAAATATATACTCTTTTCGTCCCATTATTTTCTATATGCAGTATCATATCATGCATGTATGACATTCAAGTATATTCCATATTATTCGTGTTTTCAAATCAATTAGATTAAATATAAGTGTGAGGTTTAAATTAGAATAAATTCCATAAATGGTTTCTAACTATATGTAATTTTCTATATTTAATATCAATTACGGAGTATAAGATATTTCATTAGTCTTCAATTTTTGAAAACTATTCCACAAATAGTGTTTTTCACCAAATACTCCATATGACAAAACATTTTCTCTCAAAATGATCCTTTCTAATAATGTTTTTTCCTAAGATAATAATTAATAAGCCAAAATTATTAACGTGATCCTTTATAATTGATATGTGTTTCCTAAATAGTCTTTTATAAAAAATATTTTTTAAATGACAGTTAAATATAGGGTATTTTGATTCTATTTATTATCTAAGCTATGAATAAGTCATAAAAATAATTTTTTTTAACTTTCTTCACTTAATTTTATTAATCATTTATTAAAATATTATAGTCAAATCACTTCTTGCTTTATACAAAATATAATTTTTGTTGTAGTTTTAAAATACGAAGTATATAGTAGTGATATTTATTTTAAAACATCACTTGAGTATCTTTATTTGAACAAATTAAATTGAAAAATAAATTAAATCAAATATCTTAATCCGAGTTTTTTAAATTAAAATCTTTTCCCAAAATCTCGGTCAAAAGTCATAAAATTGACCAAGAATGAGCAAACAAAAATGCGAAGTCAAGGCTACCTCCTCTGACCCCATAAGGACCGGCGGCACCCTTTATACCCCGGAGCAAAAAAACACCAAAAGAAACATGCCGGAAAAAAAGATCTCCTCTGTTTTTTAACCAGTAAGAAATTTGGACCATTTCACAGTGTTTATTGATATTATAAATCTTATTTTAAAATCAGAATATTGAAGATCTTATTTTGATATATAAAACACGAGTGTTTTGATCGAAAAAACCCGCAAAACGCCGACTTTTTCCAAATCTAATAAAGATTTTGGCGAAGGGCTTGTTCAGTAGGAATAATGCTAGACAATAGCGCTAGCGTTTTGGATAAAATTTTAACGGTACAAATTATTTTGAAAACGCGAAACGCTACTCGCAGATAGCCTTTCTTCAAAACGGTAACGCTAAGTCGCTAATTTCTAACGCAATTACCAAAGAGACCCGAAGAATGGGTTCAAAAAAAAGGGGGGGATCCAAAAGAGAAAGAAGATGAGAAATGAAGAAGGAAGGAAGGGAAGAGAAAACAGGCCTGTAACAATGGCGGTGAGATGAGAGGCATCAATGGCGTGTGTGACTTTCTCTGCAGTAGAAGCAGAGCCGAACCCACTTGGCCCTCTTATCCCTGTTATCGACCTCAACATTCTTAAGTATCTTTCTCTCTTTCTTTCTCTCTTTGTCTCTTTCTTTCTTTCCCTTTTGGTTTGAACAAAACCAAGAAATGGGAGGGGAATAAAAGAGTGATTGTGTGCCTTTCTTCCTAAGCTTTTTTGTGATTCTTTGCATATGGCACACACCCAACCCCCCCCCCCCTATTTATTATGTTTAGGAACTAACTACTAGGAATAGAAATTAGAATATACTCCCGTCTCTCTCGGTGGGCGTAGCTCAACTGGTTCAATAAAGATACTGGCAAATCTACTTTGCCTTGACTGAGGACACTCGCCCCCGGTCAAATAAAAAAATATTTTCCAAAAAAATATTTTTTTTCATCATAATTTAAAAATATGTTTAAAAAAACATTTTGGGGGCACTACCGAACCCTTGCCTTACTACAGTGCCCGCAGTTAGTTTTGGGGTAAACGGGAGTTATAGTTTTGTTGCGAGAAAATTATATTAAGCATATGGACTCTCCTAGCTGGTACTAGATGTTGGTTTCACTCTTTGCTAATCAATCTGTGATTAGAACTTAATTTATCTCCTTTTAAGTGACTGCCCCGACGGTTTTGATCAGGAAGTTCTCGAAGATGTGGCTCATCCTTTCAAGAATATATACTTCCATCTCTTAAGTTTGAAATTTTTTAAAATCTGATTTGATTTGATGTGACAGAGTACTTTTTTAATTTGGAAATGAATTTATGATAAAACTTCATTCACTTTTCTCATTTATTTTCACTACTTATTTCGTAATATAAAATTTGTTTTGAGAGTGATTCTCTGGTGCACCTTGGGTAAATATAATTTTTGTACACTTTCTTATATAAAAAATCTTTTTTTAAACTTTTATTTAAAATAAATGCCCATCAAAGTAATTATAATATTATCATTATTAAAAAACAATATGGAAGGGAGGAATACATAATTGGAAGGGTAATGGGGGGGTAAATTTCACCAATGGTACTTGAACTTTAGCTGGAATTTCGAAGTGGTACCTGAACTTCAAATCCTTTCACAAAAATCCCTGAACTTACACAATCCTTTCACTAATGAGCCATTAGCCCGTTTCTAGGTTAACTTCCGGTCATTAGGGCCAAATTCGAATTTTATATATTTTAAAATTTTCAATTTGACCCCATTTCTTCTTTTCTTTTCTTCCAGGCCCCGCCGCCGCCGCCCGCCGGTCAAAGTCGCCNGGGTAAATTTCACCAATGGTACCTGAACTTTAGCTGGAATTTCGAAGTGGTACCTGAACTTCAAATCCTTTCACAAAAATCCCTGAACTTACACAATCCTTTCACTAATGAGCCATTAGCCCGTTTCTAGGTTAACTTCCGGTCATTAGGGCCAAATTCGAATTTTATATATTTTAAAATTTTCAATTTGACCCCATTTCTTCTTTTCTTTTCTTCCAGGCCCCGCCGCCGCCGCCCGCCGGTCAAAGTCGCCTGAAAATGAACTTTTTCCGATTCCGGCGGGACCAATGTCATTCTCTTCGTCTTGAGACGAGGATCAATAATATCCAAACCATTTTGTCTAATTTGTCCTGTAACTTCTCGAATCTGAATTTTTCTACTTGAAAAAACCCTAAAATCGAAATTGGGTCTAAAATGGGGGGTTTTGCAAATCGTCATCAAATCTTGAAATTGAAGGGTCCTTAGAGGTCGCCCGGATGCCACAACCGCATTGGAGTTGGTGCCCGCCGTCAATTTCGCCGGAGTTGGCCGGAAAACGCTCCGACCCGCCGGAGGTTTCCAAAATAATTGGAAGGGTAATGGGGAGAAATTAAAGTGGGAGGGGGAGTCTTGGGTTCAATTCCCACAGGGTTTGTGTGAACCAAAGAAATGGCCACACTGTGTGTGCTTTTCTACGCAATTAATCCGCTTGCCAATCTTTCTTTCTTTCTCCACGACCCCGACGCCCATAAACTCGTCTTACTTAAACTACATCTTCATGTTCCTAAGAACACCGGAAATACCTTTACACCATGTTTGATTCGAAAAATTTGGAAGAAAAAGAAAAGAAAAGAATTTAATTTCTTCCAGTTTCTTCACTAAAATGGAAAGAATTTTGTTCTCCATCCTCTTAGTACATTTTACCTTCTCATTTTCTTTTCCTTCCACTTTTCTTTTCTTTTCTTCTCTAACCAAACAAGAAAAATGTTTTCCTTTTTATTTTCTTTTTCTTTCTCTGTCAAATTCTTTAAACCAAACATAGTGTTAACGTCAGGGGCGTTTTTTGCTTTTTAACGTAATGGGGATATTAAACACCGTCCCGTGGGCGTTATAGGGGGCTTCAACTTTTAAGGGAGAAAGAAAGGAAAAGGTTGTGGACCCTCTATTGAAAAACAACAAAATAATTATATTAATGTCATTGGAAATCTTAATCTCGTCTCTCTTTTCTTGAAGTTCGGAAATGCTCAAAGTTTTCCTCTCTTTCTTTGCCTTCCCCTTCTTGGATTCCGAAAACGCTCGAAGTTCTTCTTTATCTAATACGAGTTCGCATCAATTGGTGTTAGGATTAGCATTATGGTTTCTTTATTTTCTATAAATAGCGATGTAACCCTTTCGTTCAATCAATCAATAAACAATAATCAAAACACTTTTCTCCTTTTTTATTTTCTTGGAGTCCAGAAACGCTCGAAATTTTCCATCTTTCTCTACTTCTTCTTCTTGAACTTGAAGAACGCTCGAAGTTCTTCCTTATTTGATACGATATTCGTATTAGGCTATCCCAAATCGCTTGAACCAAGGATTTTAAAACTATCCTCGAACCATTTACAACTATGGTTTCTCATCTATCTGTTACTCTTACAACAAGAGAATTTCGTGACTATTCTCAACCGTTACAACAATGAAAAACATTAATGGAATACACAAAGTATTACGTAAGCAAAAGCTTCTTAAATATGAGAATTTCATGGATATATGAAAAATGAATGGGTCATGCTACACTTACACCACAAATTGTACCCCATTTGTACACCGCAGTTATATACAAACATTTTGATGGTTTACACCGACACAAGTGTTAGTGCGTTAACAAAAATTTACACGGACACAAAGTATTGGTGCATTAACAAAAATTAGCTTTAAACCAACACAAAGTGTTGGTGCAAAGCTGCGGGGTACAAAGTGGGGTACAAAAACATGGGGTACAAATAGCTTTATCCAAAATGAATATGTAATGTAAGACTCTTTAGTTATTCATCAAAATGAGTGCTTAGGGGCTGTTTGGCAACTTCTGAATCGGTAAGTGCTGAACCAGTAAGAGGTCTGAACCATTAAGTGCTGAATCAGTAAGAGGTCTGAACCATTAAGTGCTGAACCAGTAAGAGGTCTGAACCATTAAGAGCTAGTATATTTCTTAACTATTCAGAGGCAAATGTCTTATCAATTCAGATAAGAAGTCTTAACCATTCAGACTCTGTATAATACTTAACCATTCAGAAGCAAATCTCTTAACCATTCAGACATCTGAACCATTAAGAGGCTGAAACAAACAACCTGAACCATTAAGTGCTGAACCATTCAGACATCTGAACCATTAAGAGGCTGAAACAAACAGCCCCTTAATGTCCTATTTATAGTGGACATGTGATTTAGTTACCTTTTAGGACCGTTAGAGAGTTGTTTAGAGCCAATCAGGTTGATTGAGTAGTGATTAGGTTCAAAATCAATATTTAAAATTTGACTATTGTGTGTTTTAGATACATTGAGTTTTTTAATGCATAATATTAATTGTGAAATTTTGTAGGATTAATTAAATAACTTTGAACAGAAAATAAACTTAGTTAAGTCTCGCAATCTATAATAATGTGACGACTAATTTGGGATAGAAGAATTATATAGAGCCATCTAGATAATTGTTTTAACAAATCAGTATTGAAAAAAGAAAATAAATGTGGTATGAGTTCAACCATGTGTGAATAATGGATATGATATTTTTTGGACATGGAAAGTACTTCAAATTAAATATTTCTAAGAAACCAATCTTTTTTTACCGTTTTAGTTAAGAAATCTACCTAAGTAAGCATACAATATGAAACTTATATGAAAATAGAACTTATACACTTTTATCACCTAAATAGGAACTTATACTAGTATGGATGTTATGAAATGCCCATAATTTGACATTGTATTTGGTATTTCACGATATTTAATTTTGTGGCATTATATTTTGGCATTATTTCACACTGTAAGTACTATTTTACTCCATTCATCCATAAAATCTTTCGTGTTTTGACTTTTGTTATCAAACAGTGACACTCTTTGACTACAAATTAAATATATTTCGAATAAATAAATGTTACGGGTATAAAAATTTTATAGAGAGAATTTTATAAATGGTCCTTAATTATAAGTGATTTTCCATGTTTAGTCTCTAATTGTGAGATATTAGATAAGTGGTCCTCAATTTTTAAAAAATATTTCATAAATATTTCTTTAGGTTAAATATGATAAAATATTTTTTCCATATATAGTCCCTAAAAGACTGAATACGGAATAACTTTTATAAACTGAGGATCCTTTATGTAATATCATAGAATTGGGGATTAAATATGAAAAAACCAAATGTAATTGGTGACCATTTATAGAATTTACTAAATTTGATATATCAAAACTCTATCCTATGATTAACCCAATTATAATAAATTTACATTAAAATTAAATATATTTTTTCATAATTTGTAATTAGAGAGTGCCATTGTCTAACTAAAAAGATCAAAATAGAAAACGTTTTGTGGGACGGAGGGAGTAATGTAGAAACATTGAATGTCCTTACTTTAATATTCCTATATACTCGGTACATATTACTCTTATATAACTTCATCAAGTGATTCAATTGAACCAAAGCTTAATATATTTTTCAAATCAAAGCAAATGTATCAATGTACCACGCCCATCTTTAGCTCTCACCTGTTTTTCAGTAGATTGTTAAGTTCCAACGGTGAAAGAACAAAGGAAACATGACTTGATTTTGGAACAGGTAGAGGGGATGAACTAACACATTAATAATGAACATGAACATTTATTACTACTATTAAAAAAAAAGAAAAAAGAAAGATTTTCCCCACATCTTAGCTAGCTAGGGTGCCTCAGGACCGGCTACACAATAGTTTGGAAAGAGGTAAATTGAAGTTTTGATTTTAGACTAATCAACAGAGACGAGTGTGATTTGTCTCATTGTCTCTGGTGCGTGCAAGCAAGGACTTCATGTTACGCATGATTGTGGTTTAACTTATCGTCGTTTTCAGGAATCGAGTCGGGTATTACCTAGTGTTATTAAACCCAGACCGGATCGGGCGGTTTGACTAGTCGAACCGCGACCCGGACACACAACTACTCCAGTCAACCCCCCCTCCCCCCAAAAAAACTCGGAACAGCTCGGAGAAAACTGAATCGACCCAAAAAAACCCAGTTTGACCCGGGACTCGTTGTCCCCGCCGGGTCGACCTCCGGTCCGAGTTTAAAATCATCTACCTCCTTATACCCCTTTTGCACCTTCTATATATTGAGGGACTAAACAACACCCCTAAGGAAAACATGCATTTCTTAGTAAAAAAAAATGATGAACTAATTATAGGGTGCCCCAAAAGCGGCACGAAGACTATGGGGAGATAAATTGAGTTGTAATCGTAGAATAATCAATAAAGAGATACTCCATCTCTTTCTAGTACGTGTAAGGATCTCATACTACATATGATCGTTCTTTATCGTCATATCGTTCGTTGTCGGATATTAGACTTGAATATTACATATTTCATCCATCCAAAAATTATCTTTTCGTTCATTATTTACATGGTCAAACTTTATTTACTTTATAGGCCTATTTTCATTGCCCATTTCATGAAATAATAGTTATGTTACTTCTAGTTTTGTAGATCTTTTGATTTAGTTGTTCGATATGCATGTAATTTCATTTTTTTAATTCCACATCATTTTCATATGAAATGATTTGAAAATATCTTCAGTCAAACATTGTAACATAAAAGGAGAAGATAATTTTTGGACACAGAGTATTTATTAGTAAGATGGGAGGGAGAGAGTACGAATTAATTACTACATGATGGGAGTACGTACGTAGTGTATAAAGGTAAGGGCATTTAAGTGGTGTCAGCTAAATAGTTGGATCTAATGTAATAATGTGTGTGTGCAATTGTGCAGGGTCAACTCCCAGCTGATGAGTTACATTGGTCCATTACTAGTGGTGGGTTGTTGCCCCATTGATATATATTCTTTCAAGAAAAATAAAAGAATCTAGTTTCCAATTCAATTTCTGAGAAATTTAGAAAAGAATGTCGTCTCATTCTTGAGGATCCCTCAACATCGACTGAACAATTAACTGATAGAAGATGAATTGTGCTATAATCTCAAAATTAGTGAGCGCAAGAGTGTAGTTTCGTGTCTTGTACTTGGAGAAGATTCATGTTTTGCATTCGCAGCAAACATACTTCGAACTTGAGAATTCCATTAGAAGATAATAATAATAATAACAATCATGCTAGAGGTACACCAAAAAGTGTACTCCAAGTTGTACTCCAAAGAGACGCACTAGCATTTTAACAGTTCACATTGGCATAAAATGTCAGTTCAATCAAAAAAAATTACACTGACATTTTGTGTCGTTGTAAACCATCACACTAGCATTAAACTAGGACAAAATATTGGTGCATATCTTCAAGATACAAAATGAGATACAATTTTTGGGGCACACATAGTTTAACTCTAATCACAATGGCATGAGAGTTTCTTATCAATCAAATCATGATTAGAGTTCAATTTAATTCTCCCAACTAAATTCATTTGGGAAGACCCGAACTGAAATAAGGGTTAACCTTTTTATAGCGGATAAAGCCACAATGTCTAATAGAATTTGTTAGATTGCAAATAGTTGTTAATATGCACCAGGATTTCCCAGACAATATCAACTTTGCTGATGAAAATGGAAGGCTTAATAGATTTGTGTTGTAATTTCAAAAAAAAAAAAAACTAAATTCATTTGGATGTCAATAGTGAGATACTCTATCCGTCTCGAGATAAATTACAATTTTCTATTTATGACGTAAGACCTTACATTTTTTAAAATCAATTCGTTCAAAAATTGGTATAAGAAAACTAATAAAAATTACACATTTAAAGACAACGTCGAAAGTTCTACAAAATAAAATATGATAAAAATATTTTATTTTTTAAAATGATTAATAAAGGTACACTACTAATCAAGAATTATTGAGAGGTAAGTCCCAAAAAAAATATAATTAATTCAGATCAATTTAGAACGGAGGGAGTATATGGTGACTACTTACTCACAGGTAGATGGGGGGGGGGGCTTGCCCGATCATGTATGTATGTATCCTGGAAGGAGTGGAAGCTACCAGTCAATGACTCCAAATACACGAATAGACAGTTATTGTCACCAATCACATTTTTTTTCCCTAGTCACGAATGCATAATTGTAATAGTAGTAGTAGTCCTAGAATATAGAAATAAGGTTGACCTAATAATAACAACAAAGGGTTGGGTAAATTCTCATAGAATCTGCAAAAATTTGCAACACTTTAAAGGTCCATTTGGTGAGTTCTAGAAGAATGGTATGATATGAATTTTGAAATCTGAGAAAAATGATATGGATTTTGAAAAACATAAACTGAAAAACTTACACTCCCAAAAAAAAATTAGAATTCAACATTATGAAAATTAATGTGAGTTCCATGGACACTAAGGCCCCTCATTTTAAGGAATCCTGTCCAAGGCCACCCAAATAACTACCCTACAGCTATAAGGGAAAAAAAAGATTTAAAAATAAGAAAAGAAATTCAAAAAAAAGACCCAAGAAACAATGGCCCTCACAAAACATACAAACAAACCCAAGCTTCAGTATCTATGTTCATCTTTCTTTGTTTGCCAAATTGGAATGAAGCAATTGGTTCATCCCACTGGCAATTTTTACAGTCTCCAGACCCATAACTTGTGGAATGGAAATAAATTTGAAAGGGGAAAACTCCTAGAGAGCAAAAAAATGAATTGGAAATTGGGAAATAGTCAAATATTCTCTTCACACCTTCAGATGAACCCTCCATCACCCCAATTACCTTCTGATTTCCCATTATACCCCTCCACATGCTTACCATTCCCAGGGGCAGTCTGGTGAAAGCCATCATATCCGTCATCTTTGCCGTCGTCCCAGCCTGCCCAGCCATCATTGCTAGCGGCGCTTGTTCCCTTCGTACTCTCCTCTTTCCTACTACTAGTTCCCTTAGTGTCCCAATCGTTGTCCCACGAAGGGCCCCGAGAGGGATTCCAGCCTTTGGAGTCCTGGGGATAGTTTCCACTCTGTTCGTGTTCACTTCTTTGCCAGCTGTCGGTTTTCCAGTTGGAGTTCGTCTCCTTCGTGTACTCCTCAACCTTCTGGGAAGCTAGGGTCAGTACCCCTTTCATGATCCCCCATGTCTTTTGGCCAATCTCGGTCGTTTTTGCAGTCACCACATTCACTGTTTCATTTACCTTGGTGTCGTAGCCGCCGTCTTTCACCTACAAGGATACAATACACATGTTTTGTTACCAGATTCTCTGTGCAAATTCAACATGAGGACCACGAAACCAAGACGGGAAATGAAAAGACATGCATTTTCGATAGTCACAAGTGCTAAAAGCACTTCCTGCTTTCCTTTTTCAATTGTCCAAAAACTTCTCTTCTCATTTAAGAGAAAAAAAATGAGTGATTCACATTATTACTCTCCTATGTTTAAACTTCCACCATACAAATTCATTTTTTTCTTTTAGGGACAGAGGGAGTACAACACGAATAACCCACTAAGGCCCCCACAACGGAGTGAGTGTACGCAAGCCTTATCCCTACCTATACAGAGTTGTTTCCAAAGAAGAGATCAGAAAAATAAAGTTAGAACAATCAAATATAAAAAGGATGAGCAGTAAGGGTTAACCAAATATGGAATAGAGGAAGCATGAGTAAATAACAATACACAAATATACCATCCCCTATAAAGGCACTCTACACATGACTCCCTCCTACAACCCATGACCCAGCAGCAGATATTACCCACAACAAAGACAAATTAATAGGCAAAAGGTCTAAAAGCCAACAATTCAAATGAATAGCAAGGAAAGGTCTTGATTGCATTTAAATGGTCATCAGCAGGTCTAAACTTCACAAACTTTAAAAGAATAGTCTTGCAATATCACAGGCAACAACTCAATGCACTGTATTAAGCTATCAACTTCTAAACATGTGTAAATATACACTCCACACTCCCACATTGATGGTTTGTAGAATGAAAACAGTAAGAGTGAAAACAAGAAATGAGAATGCGCATAATAGTAAGCTATTCCATACTTCGGTTCATATAATAAAGCAGAATAGCTAAAGACTGTCCTCGTGACAAAAACAAACCCATTAAATCCCATAAAGTAGGATCGGGCCTCGGGGAAGGGTGGGTGTATGCAGACCTCCCCCCTAGTGGAGAGTAGAGAGACAGTTTCCAACAGACCCTCGAAAGTGCCCACAGAGACCAGAATACTGATAACACCCAAAAACATACTCAATATTTCCTTCTTAATTGATACTGCAATGGAAATTTTAAATTGTACTGCATTACACAGAATTTTAAATTGTCTTCATTACCAATTGAACTAAAAGAGTAGTTTTTGACAATGTTTCAGCTTATAGTAAATAATGGACCAAATCAAAATGGCACATGAAACTGCTCTTTCTGAATTAAAAGAGTCATTTTTGACAATATTTTAGCTTCGCACTTTCTATAAAGTTTTAAGTAGTAAATGCATGGTGCATCAAGGGTCTAACACGAACAGCATCTCCATTTTTTCCAAGGATAAGGTTGCATTGCATGATGCATCTTGACCCTAGAGGCTTAGAGTGCCTTAGACCCCAACATGGTTTTGAATTATAGGTTTGAGATTGTTGTGCGCAAAATTTTAAACACTTCAAATAACTAATATATATATATATATATATATATATATATATATATATATATATATATATAATTCACTACTTTTGTTAAAGCAAACACACATTTTTTTATCAAAATGGGTAAATATACAATGTATTACGATCTTATCAGTGAAAGTTCTAAAAACAATACTCCCTCCATCCCTAAGAAAAGTTTATGCTTTGACTTCATAGAGTTGAAGAAAAGTGTTGAGAAATAAAAATTGTGGTTGGAATTTCATCAGAAAAGATAGAAGTGTTAGCCACATGTGCTTTTCTAAAAAAGGAAACGAGAAGTGTGAACTTGTCTATGGGATAGAGGGAGTTCATCCACTATAACAGTTTAGAGTAAACGAGCACGCCAAAAATACTGGAGAAAAGCTAATCTTACTAAAAGACAACTAGATAACCCGTCATAAAGGTTGAAGTCAAGATAGTGTCAAGGTCCCTTTACTTTACACACACAATTTGAAATGAAAATTTTGTAAATGGGCATCTTTCCATCCTTAAAATAGGAATAACATGTTCCATGGTGTATGATGGAACTTGGAAGGCACAATTTCCATTTGAAGTGGAATGGTGGACCAGTAGAACAAATTTCCAAGCTTCAAGATATCAACGTAATGCATGAGCGGGATTCGTCCAGAACTAACAAAACAATTTTGTCATTCTGCTAAGTGCTAACTGTGCATGGCGTGAAAGAGGTTGTCTCACTCTCACACAAGTAAAGATTAGCAAAGTAGAAAAACTATTGAATACAATGCATGCCTCACACAATCTCTCAAGTAGATAGTCACATAGTCACACCCAAACATGCAACATGAACCTAATAAAATGTATCAAATTCTCAAAGAGATTGTAACACCCTAATATGATAACTGGCTATGGAAAATGTTACAAGAGGAAACTTATATACATATCTAAATGATATCTTCATTCCTTATATATTTCCATTGATCATTTGTTAAGATAAGAAAGTCAAGTCACCTCTAGTTTTGTAGAATTTTTTATGCAGTTATTAAATAGTGTATATAATTTTATTTTTGGATGTTACACCAATATTTAAATAAAATGAATTAAAAATAACATCAGTCAAGTTCATTCGCGGATAGAGGGAGTATATGCTAAAGATTTATAATGTTATTAGCCGTGTGTGTGTAAAGCAAAATAAAATAGATTCCAAAAAACATCAACAAAAAAACCTTAAGAGTAGGTTATACATCTTGGCCAGATTTTCTATTTTCTTTATACTGCACCTTGTATGACATTGTGTCCTGGGCCAAAACCAAAAGCTTGAGCTTTTGGTTGAGTTGGTTCCTTTACATGGTATCGGAGCCTTGTTGATTAAGAGGTCACGGGTTCGAAACTCGGCGCCACCTAGTTTTTAAAAAATTAAGGTTTCACGTGCAAGGCTTGAAAAAGACTACGCCTGCACGTGAGGGGGCGTGTTAGAATATAAGAAACATTTCCTGGGCCACAATCAAAAGCTTGAGCTTTTGGTTGAGTTGGTTCCTTGACGCTAGCGGCTAGCCATTGACAGTCTCACTCTTTCAAATTGGCAATATTTATAATACTTCTTTTTGTTGGTTTGGTTGATAGAATTTGATGAAGAATTGTCAAACTAAATTACTTACTCCAATTGTTTTCTGAAATCATTCAAATTTGACACAATTTATTGCAGAGTAAAACGAGCCATCGAGTAACTCAAATCACTAAGGAATTTGGTTTTGTAAATTGTTCCGACTAGGTAGCATATTCAGCACGGTCTACAATTGAGTAGCAACTACTCGCTCAGTACAAACAGATCAAGTAAGATATGGAGTAGTTATATCTACACACTCTCATGATACTTCTTTTTCAAACTAGAATTGGTTTTTTCATATCCCCCCCCCCCGAGTTCTATTCCTTAAAACACACACACACACACAAGAACTCAATAAATTGTACTACCTCTGTCCCAAATAAAGTTCATGTTTACTATTTAGTATTCACTATTCAAACTTTATTCACTTTATTTCCTAATATTTGTTACTCATTTGATAAAATAATATAGTTATGCTACCTCTTGTTTCGTAACTTTTGATGTAGTTTAAGTAGAGCTTCCCCTTGCCTTGAGTAGTGTTAAGGAGGATCATCCCAGGGATATGGAAGGGAAGCTCATCCAGGTTTGATTCTCAACGAAGGAAGATTGGTAAGGGATTAAGAGGAATGGATAGGATGTACTATTGGGTCTTTTAGACAAGGCTTAGATTGGGCTAACATTGGGCTATCACTCTTGGGTTAACAAGCTCCAGTAATCAAGAGTTTAATGGGACTGGGGCCCCGGGCTGTAGTGGGCCCTACTACAAAATCCACACCAATTTTCAAATAAATTAAATTGAAACTAATTCAATCAAATGTTGTAGGAACTTCATTTTGGGACGGAGGGAGTATCATCTTATCAACCAATATAATGTGGTTTTGTCCCTTGACATCTATGATCTATACTGTGACAACAAATAATAGCATAATAGTTAAGATTTCTTGCATGAAAATATTCTAGAACTATATGAGTTGGAGAAAAAAAGATCATAATGCATGATATGTTAAGTTGACTTAAGGTTCCTTACAAATGCATACCATGCAACAATTAGCAGAAAGCCAGATATTTAAATAAGCAAACTGGTAATTATGTAATATGTACTGTGTGCTTTACTTTCTAAAATGATAAAAATAATTGATATTAATAGTATAATTACTGGTCCCGGTTTTAAATAACTGTTGACACCCTGCGTCTTGAGGTGAACTGCTACGAAATTCTATCGAGATTACTTCTCCTAATCATGGAGAAACTTATGCCTCATCTGGATGACGCTTACGCCTTGAGGCATACACCTCATGAAGCATATGAGGCCTAAGAGCCTATAATATTCTGCAAAGAAAGGCCACCTTCCATGCAAAGCTTGGTCGTCCTTTAGGTAGCTTGGCTCAATATAATTTCCTTTTAATGAAAAGCTTTAAATTTATTTTACTTTTTGTTTGTGAACATGCTGACACAAATAAAACTTTAGAACATTAAATAGTTGTATTAATTGGCAAGAGTGTGGGAAGGAACTAAGAACAGACTGGAGGTGTTTTTGCCAAACTTTGGACTCTAAAGGTTTCTGAAGCCAATCAGAGCATAAAAAACTAGGTATATGGAATGCAATCACAACTGCATACAACAAGAGTCGGATAGGGTGGCGATCGAGTATCAACTCATCCCAAAAAGCAATTTTTTTCAGGTAGCTTGGATCAATTATCCAACATGATGGCAAGATTGATGATGATGATGTTGCTAATCATATCAGAACCCGCTGGATTAAATGGGGGCTCGCATTCGGAGTTCTATGCCACAAGAATGTGCTACTGAAACCAAAGGATAAGTTCTACGGAGGAGTAGTCATAGCTCCTATATTGAATGATGAAGACTATGGCCTGTTAAATTTAGATTACCCACGTGGCCACGTGCAGAAATTGAGAGTAGCAGATAAGAGTGGGTAGATGTGTGGGCATACTAGGAGAAATAAGGTGAGAAATGAGGATATGGGATGTGTGGGCATACTAAGAAAGATAAGTTATGCTCGCTCGTCCCATAGTAATTTTACACTTTACCTTTTTACTTTTCAGGAAAGGAATATGTGGCTCACAAATTTCTCTTATAAACAGATTTCAACCATAAACTTTCTTAAACTTTGTGAAGTAAAAGTGTCAATTTAATTGTGGAACAAAAGGAGCATGTTTTGTCTATAAGGCTTATGCCTTTATTCAGCTAGATGCCACTTGATGTTGCAATGGGATAGCGTCACATAACTCACATGAAAACGATGGGCTTGGTATTTTTGAGATCTTCTGGGGTGAGGAAAGTTGTGCATAAAAGAGAAGGAGCTGAAATTGTACATGATGTAATTCTGAAGATATATGATAAATGCAAGTATTTAGGAGAGGGCGAGTTCACTTCATAGTTCATACTACTCAAGGGAGATGTTGTTGAGTTCTCTTCTTCTTTCAAACTCCCTGCTAACCAATTGAGAAAATTTCCTTCTTTTATTTCATGTCACACATACTGAGGGATGGGGGAAGGGGTAGAGCTAAAGAGAATTGGATGGAGGTGATTAGCCAAGACCTTACTTAGTCTTTTGGCTCTAACCGAGAATATGACCTTAAATAGGAGGTATGAAGATCTAGACTACGGTTGTTGGGTAGTTGTCTGGGCCTAGGTGGTAGTGTTATCTATTGTCTTTCTGTGCTTTCTGTGCTTCAAATGACTTTAAAGGATCAGGTTTGGTTCATGGAGACCACTCAAGCAAGATGTCGCTGATATTACTGAGATCCAGCTCAAATTGAAGAGGTAGCACATCATCAGTCCAAACAAAACAAAAAATTTAAAAACTTAGATGATCAAAATTATAAAGAAATAAACAAAAAAGTCATAGGCTTTTTAGTTATCCAAAATTTCCAGCTTGATGCATTCTACAAACTGCAGAGGTCTAGGGCACATTGTTTTTAAACTTTCTTCTCTATGTGATTGTGTTACCTCTTCTCACAAGATCATATATTTCTTATCTCATTGAATACCAAATCATACTCCAATTCTTTTGGTATATTGGCGAGTACATAATCTTACTAGACATAGAGAAAAAAATATTTGAACATTATAACCCAATACCACAATCCAAAAAACTAACTAATCTTGAGAGCCAAGGTAAAAAATACGTATTTGTGCAACTAAAAAAAACCCTTCACATCGGATTCTATATGTTTAAATCATTAAATACAAAATCTTACTCCATATGTCCATAAAGAGCAACATTTGAGCATCATTAGCCAGTAGCAAATTCAAATGTAGAAGTTCAGAACCAAACTTGAATCTTGAGAGCCAAGTTGCATGCCTAATTACTTATAATAACATGAAAAAAATATGTGCCAAATAGATGGAGAAGAAAAAGAGAATACCTTTGAAGCTATCTCCTTTGTTCCTGCCTGAACCACACTGGCAGCAGATTGGGCAGCTGAAGCAGCTACCACTGATAACCTACCGAATCCCTGCAAACCCCATCCAACATCCAATTCAACAATATGTGAAGCAATTGATTGTATGATCAATAAAAAGGATCACTCATTCTCCAAAACACATTACCTGAGAAACAGCAGAAAGAACATCTGCTTGGGGAACATTGTTATTCCTTGGCATTGTAGGGCTCGATCCGAACCCGACGTACTTCCCTCCTTGTGATGGAGGGATCCCCTCCGGACGGGACTCGTTCTCCGCCATTTTCCTTGCAAAAAAGTTGCCCTTGTTTGCAGCAGAAGCCTCCAGCTGTTCCCTCATTATATCATCCGTTGACCTCGACCTGGCTGGAGCACCACCTTTTCCTCCGCTGCTCCTGAAATCCCCCACCGTCTGATTCCTACGCATATTATTGCTATTATGATTACTGCCGCTACCGAACCCTCCATCGTCATCCCAACTGTCCCAGCTTGAATTGCCACCAACATTCCCACCTCTAACTCCGCCACTCAAGGGCGGCTTACTACTGCTATTACCGGCACTGTCCTTGAGTGATTCCTTGATCACAGGTGGGTCCCTCCAGGGCTTCCCGTCGGCAAGGGCCTGGATCCTGTCCCGGTAAACAGCCGCGGCCTTGGTATTGTACTTGGTGACGATGTCCGTCTCTTTAGGGATTCCGTATCCAGAGATGAAGGAATTGAAGTTCTGGTTACCGCCGAGCTCCATTTTCCGGAGCTGGATCTCGGACCAGGAGTCCATGGTGACGGATCGGACGAAGGAGATGTGGACGCCGAGGCCGCGGTGCTTGCCGGAGCATTCGAGACACATGAAAACTCCGTAGGAGACGGAGGCCCACTGCGGATTCTTCTGGGAGCAGTCGACGCAGATCTTGTTCCCCGGCTGCGATTGCAACTCTCGGAGACGCCGCGATGCCGCCATTCCTTCTTCAACCAACCAACCGAAAAGAAAAACTCCGATCCGATTCAATCCGCGCCTCTGAGATCAAATCATACAAATCAAAAGAAATTGAATTGGAAGGAGAAGAACAAACAGAAAAAGAAAAATCGAGATTCACAAATGAAGAAAGGGGAAGAAAAAGGAAAAGGCGCAGAATTGAATGATCAGAGAGAGAGGCGTGGAGAAGATGGCCGACACAGTCAAATTAACGGCTGGTGGACAAAGGAAATCCCAAAGAGGAAACAACCAAAGCTGAATCGCATATTTTGCTTGTGACAAAACTTGCAGTTACATTGTCCCATTTTTTCAATTTTCAACCCTATCAAATTGTAACTTCGACACAAAACCTTAGAGGGAGTATAAAATTATACTCCCACCGTCCCCCAGTTTTTGTCCGCTTTTGACTTTTGGAACTGTTCATCTAAGCACTTTGACTCATCAAATTCTCTCAATGTGTAAGCCTAAATATAGTCATGTGTGATCTTGTTTGATTTGTCTTAACATATAGATTATTAATATATAATTTCTATAATTTTTTAATATACAAATTACAAGATAAAATGGATTAAAGAAGTGCATTGGCTGATGTGCAAAAATGAAAATGGATAAAAACTGGGGGACGGAGAGAGTACATCGTTTTGATATTTTATATCGATATTTTGTATCAAGGAACGTTATATAAATTGAATAATAAATCTTTGAAATACATCAAATTAGAGCACTAGTAATGGTGTTGAAGCCCTGCAACTTCTAATTGAGATTTTAAACATTTTCTCTATCATATCATCTTTAACATACACTAGAATTTTATTGGAAATATGTTTGAAATCCTGGACTTCAAGCTTCATACCTTTATTTTTTACGTTTTTAAATATACATCTTCTATAATTAAATTAATAACATTTTATTATTTAATTGAATTTAAAATAAAAAATATACAATCAACAAAGTACATTAACAAAATAAGATTTTAATAATAAGAACAAAGATAAAAAAAATACCTTACGTTATGAAGAAATTACCAATTATTTGTGCAACTAAAAATATCTTCAATCAAATTCGGATTGTAATGACATGTTGCAAACCAAAATAATTTATTAAATAAAAAAATTACATTCAATAAAAAAAATATCAAATTTAAAAAATAACAAAAAAATTACATTACTAAAACAAAATTTTAAACAATAAAATATAGAGTAAAGAAATTGTGTTTGTGTATGTTTTATTTTTTAAAAAAAAAATTATTTTTTAGTCTTATGGTATTAATGTAATTTGTTTGTTATTTTTTAACAGAGGGACCCACGCATTTTCTCTTCTTTCTCCGTTAAACATTTGACGCGTAAGTGATGAAACCTAATTGATGAAGCCCCAAGGAGGCGGTACTTAACGCACCTTTGGCGTTAAAACCAGCAAAAATGCCCCAGGTGTTAGGACCATTTCCAGTACTCTTATGTGCAAATAGATTTTTCTTTCCATTTCTTGTTTTTTTTAGCGCACACAATTTTTTTGTTTGTCTATACGAAATGAGAGAGAATCTGAATAAAAAAAGAGTGGGACTAAAATTAGAAATAAAGAATATATAAAATTATACTTCCTCTATCCCCCATAGATCTTCTCAATAGCCCTTTTTTTTGTCCACAATAGATCTTCTCATTTCATTTTTTAACAATTAAAATACCACAACTACCTCCACTTACTTTATTTATTACACCTCACCCACCTCATTTAATACACTCCACCCATTTTTCATTAAGGGTATTATGGTAAACTTTCACTTTTTTTCAACTCTCCTTAAAAAGCACTAAAAGTCAAAATGAGAACATCTTAGGAGGACGGAGAGAGTAGTAGGTTCAAAGTGACATGAGAATAATTTGAAAATCAATTTCAAATAGTTTGTATACTTTTTTTAAAATTCTGGTCTTCTTGCAATGAAAAAATAAAAATTGAAGTACCAAAATAATACATCACTCTAAATTCAATACCATCCGTGAAATTTACCCAACATAGTATGTTACTTTGTACTCCACATAAATTAATGGGACTTGAACAAAAAAAGAGTATTGTTTAAAATCAAGCATACTATTAACAAACCAGGCGAGAATGGGGTCTTCCGAACGAGAACTGACCCATGGGTATCGAGGACGAACTTCCAAAGGAGAACTGATCCTACGGCCGGAGATAGTCGCCATATTTAGCTAAATTAACACAATTTCATCACATTTCTTTTGCGTAATTAGTAACACTTTTATTAAGAGACTAGAATTTTGCTTAAGAGACATAAAAAAAAGTTACTCTCATGACTAATCCCGGATAGAATTTTGGTATGTCTCGTTTCTTTTGATAAAAGTACTTCCTCCGTCCTAAAACTAATTTCCCAGTTTAACTTTTGTAGTCAAACTTTTTAAACTTTGACCGTATATTATGAAAAAAATATATTAAATTTTCATATAAATTTATTAGCAATAGATTCATTTTGAAACATAGTTTTGAAATATATAATTTTTATAAAATATATTTATATAAAAATTGAGATATTGATAATCAAAGTGTCACATTGGAGACCGTGAAAAGTCAAATAAGAAGTTAATTTTAGGACGGAGGGAGTATAACAATTGAGTGGTACTTTAATGTAGAAAAAAGAAAAAAAATGTTAGAATTGTTTACTTCATAATCTTCCCCAATTTTGAGCTTCAGACGAAGAACGATTATTCACTTTCGGAAGTCCAAATTCAGAGAAAATAGAACCAAAAGGAGCAGAGGAAATAGACGGATTCACTTTCGGAAGTCCAAATTCATTGATCGAAACAAGAGCATTGATTGAGAAGAACTTCGAGATAAAACGCTAACAGAGAACAATATTGCCAAAATATACATCAATTCTAATGAGAAACCCGAAATGCATGCAATCAACGAGATCCAGAACCGCAAACCCTAGCCGCCGAAGCCGTACAGAGTGCGGCCCTGTCGCTTCAGAGCATACACGACATCCATGGCGGTGACGGTCTTCCGGCGAGCGTGCTCAGTGTAGGTGACGGCGTCGCGGATCACGTTCTCCAGGAAGATCTTCAGGACGCCGCGAGTCTCCTCGTAGATGAGACCGGAGATCCGCTTCACTCCTCCACGGCGCGCCAGGCGGCGGATGGCCGGCTTCGTGATCCCCTGGATGTTGTCCCTCAGAACCTTCCGGTGCCGCTTTGCTCCGCCCTTTCCCAGCCCCTTCCCGCCCTTTCCGCGGCCAGACATCTTTCCCGGCGACTGAGCTTGAGAACTTCTTTGACTTCTTCGTGAAAATGGAGAAAAATGAGAGCGCTGTGGGAAGCGGTAAGATTTCTGGACATTTATATAAGGGAGATGAGTTGAGTACCACCGTTGGATGATTTTGTTTAATCGACGGTGTAGAATGAGGATCCGCGTAATGCGGGAATTGGCTATTTGGAGCCGTTGATAGGATTTGCATCGACGGCTAAAAGAGGGTTTGTGTTTGGTGACGCAGATCGTAATGTTTTAACGAGGTGCGAAATCTCCGCGCGTTGGGAGATTTTGAATCTGGATGGTTTTTCACTTTTGTTAACCGGTAGAAGCCCAAAAAAATGCCTTCTCCACATTGAGTCAAATTATTGTTGATGAAATGAAATTGACTTTGGGATTGTTTGACATCGGGTCATCAGCATTAAGAATTTGTAAAGCATTTCCTAAAAGATTATCTCACAACTTATGATAGTCTTTAGCACTAATTTTTCAGAATTAATCTATATCATTAAAATTTTATCTAAAATACTAACGATATTCGAAAATGATATTTTCAAACAAGACTTTGTAGTGATCCGAACAATTAAGTCTTAATTAACCCACTCAGTAAAAAAATGTTAACAGTGATTAAATAAAGACCGATCAACATTATTCCAAACTGAGAATTGGGTTTTAAACTTGTTCTTATAAATTACTCTCTCCATCAAAAAACATATTTTTAATTTGACTTGACACAAATTTTTTAAAAAGTAAAAATTATGTTGTTGAAAGTGATATAGACAAAAAAATTAAGAATCACCCAAAGTTGGAAAATGCTAGTCACAAATAAATAGTTCACAAGTATGTCTTTTGTGACTTTTAAATTAAAATATCTTTTATTACGGAGTATGAAGTATTTGATTACATCTTATTTATACGAAAATATTAAAAAGCAAGTTTGTAAATTTTGTGAGATGTTTGTTTCTGACTCTAGTATTATTTTTCAAAGCTTTTTAAAAAACAAAAGAGAATGCTTTTTTAGACGTCCTAAAAAGGAAATAAAGAGTCATTTTTTAGACGAAAATAGTACCTCAATATTTCCTTTTTATACATTTAAAAAATATTTCATTCATTCCAAATAATTATTACAATTTTTATTTAAGTTAATTTTCTTTTTTTTTTAACAAAGTGCACAATATATTCACCAATCGCATACAAAGTACAACAATCGCATACCACATCAACTAGCTCTTACGAAGTACGGAGTACGTTTTATCCACCAAATTTATGTGATATTTATAATAAATACTCCGTAATACTTAAACAATGTTCATTGGCGAGAACAATGAACAATGGGGGTATATATTTACTTTGAACAATGTTCAGCAGTGTTGAACATTTATAAGGATAATGTCCAGTACTAGACCTGGCAAAAAATGACCCGACCTGTTTTTGACCCAAAACCCGACCCGAAAATATTGGGTTTTGAACAAAGGTTTTTATGACCGAACCCGAAATGACCTGCTAAAAATGGGTCAAACCCGACCGAACCCGAACCCGACCTGACCGACCTGCTAAAGTAAGAATTTTTCAAAATCATACACTTTACTGCTCGTTTTTAGTGTATAAATTTATATTTTCAGGCAAAATTTTAATGATATTGCATAATTATCTTACTTTTTTCTAAAATTTAAGCACTTTTTAAATTCCTTATATTGATTTATATGTCTAAAAATTACTTCATAATTTAAAATAAAATAATCTAATAAATTTAATACATTGTTTTTGATATTTTAAACTTATTAAATAGAAAATGTAAGTGTTAATGTGAATTTAAAAATTTAAAAAACCAAAGTCATAACCCGTTGGGTCAACCCGAACCCGATGACACTGGGTCATGAACATAGAGTTCTCAACCCGAACCCGAATTGACCCGAACCCGAAATAACCCGAACTCGAAGTGACCGAACCCGAACCCGACCTGACCGACCGATTTGCCAGCTCTAATGTCCACTGTACATTAAAAGATGGTACTACATTGGAAATTAAAACATATGCTACTAAATTAGAAATTCGTTATGTTTTAGTACTATATAGATAAATTCTCCTAAATTAATTCAAAATATTGTAAATTTAATGTATTTAAGATTTGAAAGGATAAGAAATATAATTTACATACCACTTCCATACTGAGGTGTTTGTTAACTTTTGAGCTTTATAATCAAAATTGAAAAAATTATGAACGTAAATTAAATAAAATTAATATTAAATATTGATACAAAAAAGAATTTCTGAGATTATGTTTTTAAATTATTGGCAAACTATGGTTTTATCTAATTAATATATAATATAGTTTTTTATTTAATTATAGATTAACTCGAAAGAGTGAAAACTAGTCAATACTTTGGGATATAGGAGTTTTTAAAAGCTACATTAAATCCCTGCAAAATAAATTTTACGGAGTATACCACCATTTTATTTTATCGAAAAATTGATTTGATCAAACACTTTCTTCTCAGTTCACCAATGTCTTGACCAGAAAAATTGATCGAAGGACATGACCATTCTTAAAACAAGACTGAAAGATGAAATTTTAGGACTAACATTTCTCATTGGTAAACAAAATAAAATCCTTATATGATCATTTGTAAAGATAACAATATGCAAACATCTATGTTTGGATTTTGATACAACTTTTGAAATAAAAAAGGGATTACTTTCAACAACAATCTTCCGTCATCTTCTTCTTCATCGATTGCAGAAAACAAGCTTATATTTATGTTCAAACACAAAGGAACAGAGATGGAAGACTGTAGAAACGACGGAGGGATATAATTTCTATCGTTCTGTCAACAAAATCTGAGTAATCAAATAATCCGGAACTGAAATTATAAAAATGCGATCAGGAATTAGGGTTCCAACCATTACGAATTGATTTCATTGAATCAAAAGAGATTACAGCGATTGAGAAGAACATTGAGATATAACCATAACAAAAACCACTAAAAGTCCAGAAATTTCGCAAAGATATACATTGATTGGACACCACAAACCCTAGCCGCCGAAGCCGTACAGGGTACGGCCCTGTCGCTTGAGAGCATAGACGACGTCCATGGCGGTGACGGTCTTCCGGCGAGCGTGCTCAGTGTAGGTGACGGCGTCGCGGATCACGTTCTCAAGGAAGATCTTCAGAACGCCGCGAGTCTCCTCGTAGATGAGACCGGAGATCCGCTTCACTCCTCCACGGCGAGCCAGACGGCGGATGGCCGGCTTCGTGATGCCCTGGATGTTGTCCCTCAGAACCTTCCGGTGCCGCTTTGCTCCGCCCTTTCCCAGCCCCTTCCCGCCCTTTCCACGGCCAGACATCTTTCCCGGCGACTGAGATTGATTATCTTGTCTTCTTCGCGATGGAGATTTGCAGCTTTAAGAGAGAGATTGTGAGAATGATGAGTGAATTGAACGTGTCTCGGGAGATTTATATGATCTGAGAGGAAGGGATACTGACCGTTGGATGGATCTCCGTTAATCGACGGACGGAAATAGAGGTCCGCGAGATGTAAATCCGTCCACCCGGAGCCGTTGATCAAGTGAGAATCGACGGTCGAAAGAGTGAGCATCCATGTTGACGCGGATCATGGTTTTGTAATGAAGTGCGAAGTGGGTCCCCCACGTGGCGATTTTGAATTTGGAGCGTTTTTGCGAACCATATAGGGCCCGTTTGGTAATAGCGTTAGCGATTTGGATAAAATTTTAACGGTGCAGATTACTTTGAAAACGCTAACGCTAAACGCTGCTCGTAAATAGCCTTTTCAAAACGCTAACGCTAATCGCTAATGCTATTCCCAAACAGGCTCGTAATTTAAAAGATAAATTTGGTTGCTAATTCAGCACCAAATTTGGATTTTTCGTTTTCAAATGAAAAATTTAGTCCCTCCACCAATTTCGAAGTTATGAGTCAAGATTTCATTTTTGTTTACACACTTGGTCCTAAAATAATGCTTCTATGTTTTATTTTGGGTGTATATTATTTTTGTAAAATTTTTTACATAACTTCTTTTTTTGTTTTAATTATTTATTTTTTAAAAAAATGCTCATCCAGACAGTAAGAAATTGCTTATTTTCAGTCATGTTTATCTTTATGGTGGACTTTAGTTACATTAATCATTTTGATATCATTAAATCAAAATTTTAACAAGAATTTCAATGTTTATGATTCTTGGTTCTTCAAACATGTCAAATACAAAATTCAACCAACAACCATTTATGAACGTAGAAATATTATATCTAAGAGCTTATGTAACGCCTCGAAAATATGCTTATCAGAATTAATTAATTGATAAACAAATAATAAATGATAAGGACCTAAAAAACAAGTGATTTATAAAGGTTGTCACTAAATAATACTCTCTCCGTCCCAAAGTATTCGTCCAGTTTTGACTTTTGGAACTGTTCATCTAAACACTTTGACTCATCAAATTCTCTCAATGTGTAAGCCTAAATATAGTCATGTGTGATCTTATTTGATTTGTCTTAACATATATATTATTAATATATAATTTCTATAATTTTTTAATATATATACAAATTACAAGATAAAATGGATTAAAGAAGTGTATTCGATGGTGTGTAAAAATGAAAGTGGACAAATACTCTGGGACGGAGGTAGTAAAAAATATATTATTTTGTAAAGTTTGTCTAACTGCAACGATTCAATCATATTTTAATTCAGAGAAATTTGAACAAAAAGGTGTTACCCGACTGAAACCAAATTAGTCTCAATCAGGGACTTGCGTTTGGAATTGTAGAAATCGCAACCCCTTAACTGAGACGCTGAATTAACTGATTTGCACAGGTCATCCATGTCTTCTTCTCATTCTTCTTCCTATATAAACCAACCTCTTATGCCTCAATTCTTCACCATTTTCCTTCAAATTTATTTTGAGAGTTAGCCTTGAGTGTGGAGAATGCAGTAGTGCTGTCAATTTGGTGTGAAGTTGTTGGGGCTAAGAGTAATATTCGCCGAAAGTTTCGTCGAAAAATTCTTCAAATGGATGTGTGGATTTAAATAATTAATTGTGATTGTCATGAGACAAGTTTTAAATTGCTTCCGCATTATTAAACACTCCATACTTCTACAGTTATGTATTGAATATAATTTGAGATTGAAGATCTTGACATGACATAAGTTATATTTCAGATTGTATTTTAAGCACCCGTATGATGAGGCATTTGTCCATAAGTTAAACTACATTTAGAAAATGTTATCACGTTCAAATATGGATAAAAAAGCTCATTTTTTGAACATACCCATACTTGTTCACTCATACATATATGCATATATAACATTCCAATCGCCTACAAGAAGAGGGTGAAGTACTCGGTCCTAATGTACCAAGTTTAAGTGTGAAATTAGACAGGTAATGTGTTCACATATGGTGATACGACATTTTTTTGGAAGTCGTCTAAACGAGCACATACAATTGATAACATTATACGACAGTGATCGAGAGTGAGCCAATCTCATACAAGGAGCATGCAGTTTGAAAGAAATCAAGAAGAATGCTACGATTATATATAAAGACAATGCAACATGCATTGCTCAAATCAAGGAAGGCTACATCCAGGGAGACAGAACGAAGCAAATATCAGCAAAGTTTTTCTCAACATTTGATCTGCAAAAAGAAGGAGAGATTGATGTTCTTTAAGTTAAATCAAACAAAATTTTGTAGACTTATTCACCAAATCTCTGTCTAGACACAGTTTTGAACAAACTCATAAAGAAGATTGGACTTTCCATGCTAAAAGAGATACATTAGTTTGATTGGGAGTATAATTTTATTTTGAGGGAAATATTATACATGCTGCACTCTTTTTTCCTTAACCAAGTTTTGTCCTACTGGATTTTCTTAATAAGGTTTTTAACGAGGTAGCATAATTGATCCTAAAGTATCAGTTAATATAGGCAATGAAGAAGTTAGCCAACATTATCCGGTAGCATAATGTCGTTCGTGCATAATGAACAATAATACGGAGTATATCTTAGGGAGAGTGTTAAATATGAAAAACATATTACTCGTATTATTTAGCATATTTGTTTTCTTGTTGCTCTAAACTTCACCTCCTCCTAGTCTATGTATATATATACTACGTGATATGATGAATAAAATACTAAGTTTACAACCTATTATAATTTAAAGTAAATTCTATAATTGGTCCTTTATAACAGGAGTTTTCCCTATTTAGTCATCTATTATCAAATATTATCCCAGTGGTCCTTCTTTTATGGGTACCTTTCCACAAATAGTCCTTTTTGATCTTCTATCATGTTGGTGTTAATTTCAGGGCTAAAAGTGTAATTTCACAATGATAATATATCTTTTTTGTCATACACAATTCCAAAAGGCTATTCCGTTTGCGTCATTTGTGAATTACAGTAGCTTTTTACGACAACGATAGTCTACAAATGTGATCTTTCGTCAGAATCCTAGCCCACAATCATAGTCATTATTTATGTGTTATCCGCTTAACCAATATCAGAACACGTCATTAGACATAATGTTGATGTCAAATTATACTTTAGCCTTTAAATTAACACCAACACGGTAGAAGATAAAAAAAAGGACTATTTGTAGAAAGATGTCTTTAACAAAAAGACTATGAAAGTAATATTTGATAATAAAGAACTAAATATGGAAACCTTCATGTTATAAAGTAGCAATTATGGAATTTACTCTATAATTTATTAATGGACAAAAAAGAATAAAAATGAAGAATTCTTTTGGGTAGAAAAAGGAGGGGTTTACTTACTCGCACTTGGCCGCATTGTTCCTGGAGCAGAAGCTACACCCGATCACCGTTGACCTAAAATTTCCGGCCAATTTCAAGTTCCAGTGTAAGCTTCCGATGAGATCCTAATTTTTCTCGGAAGAATTGACATTGCGTTTTCGCATAGATTTTCCGGCGAGCATACCATCTAATCAGTTCATTTGTGTTGATTCAACTTCTAATTTTTTTGGATCTGATGTAAATGAGTATGAATTCCTTTTCTATCATCTTCGATTTTTTTATCTATTAATCTGAAGCCTGGTTTCTCACATTGCCCCTTAAGATCGATTTTGATCCTCTAGAAAGCTGTCAATTTTGTAACTTGAGTATTCATAATCATAATCCATCCACTGGAACTGATCAGCTCAAACACATTTCTCAAAATATTTGTTGAAAAATATCATGTTTATCACTTCATTGTCATTGATGTTATTTTTTTTTGCTGAGAATTAGATCTGAACTGTTGTTCCAGCTAAGGATTGTGTAGATGAAATCCGTATGTGTGCTCGACGGCATGAGGAGTACATAGAATTATGAAACAATAATACATTCATCCAAGAACATTCCTCAAGTTTTTGTTTTTTTAGTCGAATTAGACGAGTTTTGATCATCCATTAAATAAAATTTGCATAGCATATTAAAACAAAAACAATCTCATTATATTTATCTCGTAAAGAAGTTTCAAAAAAGTATCTCATTGTATTACAATGCAATGCAATTTATATTTAATTGATGATCAAAGTTCTTATAGTCTGACTAGAAAAAATCAATTTGGATGAATACTCTGAGACGAACGGAGTAATTGTGATAAATGGGTGTTTAAGTTGATTTTTTTACCTTTCAATCTGAATCATATAATTCAGGAGAAAAACATTAGTATTTTGTTGGAATTTATAGTTAGTTGTTGCAGGGATTTGTTTTATCAGTATTAGAAGAGAAAGTTCTCAAGTATTAATCGATGGTAGAAGAACTATAGTCATTCTGGGATTTTTTTCTGAAATCCCATGAACGAGTGTTGTCTATCTAGGGGTTGTGATATTGATAATGGGAAAATGCCATCGGCATGAACACTTAGATAGCTATGATTAGAGTAATTGGAAAGACCTGTTGGCCTTATTCTACAGCTCGTGCTTATGTGCTTTTTGTGTTTTACATACTTGAGGTGTTTGATCTACTTAAGGTCTAGTTGCTCGTTTCACTATTTGTGCTTCTCATGTTTGTGCTTTTACTTGTTTTGTGTTACTCTATTTACCATGCCTCCGTCTGTTTCTATGTTTGAGCCAGACGTCTCTTTGAAACAGCCTATCTACTTCCAAGTAGGGCTAAGGTCTGCACACACGCACACACTCTTTGAAAAATGCTTACAAAACGATTGGTCATAAGAAAATAATTTCTGTATCATCATAATTTCTGTTTTCAAGATAAGAAAATGATTCCCCCCCCCCTTCATTTTTGTGCACTATTTGCTGCAGATGATTAATGATCAAGACCTGGGATTCTTTGCCAACTTCCTTGGCATCTTTGTGTTTGCGCTGGTGATTGCATATCATTACGTGATGGCTGACCCAAAGTATGAAGGCAACTGAAAGCTACTTTAGGTATCCCGATGCATGGCACTATGAAATATAATGAATATCATTTGCATTGGCTTTTTTTGTTTACTGAATCGATCTTATGGAGACATTTTGATGTGGAAAACCTTTGAATATTTAGCATATGTGTTTGACTGATTCAAGTCCTTATTATACATTTCGGGTAAGCCATAAGCCCATAATCATAGCATCTGTTTCTTTCATGTGTGTTGCTATGTTATATGTTATATACTCCGTATAATTAATACTTGTTGTCTGGAGTTCATCTGTTCATCAAGAACAATTATATGATTTAAAGAATGAATGCCTTATATAGGGAGTGCCATAGCTAGATTATTTTGACAAACTGGCAGCCTGTTTGGTTAGTTTTAGTATTGTGCTTTTCTATATTTGCCCAGATTAAAAATGTTCAAGGTTTGTGGTGGCATTCTAGCCACACTTCGACCTATATTGTTTTGTATATAGGACTTGTGTTTTAAGATTGTGAAATTTCCACTAAATAGTACTAAAACATCTCTTTTTCCAATGTACTACGGTAGTACTTAAAATTTTTTATATTCATAAATAGTACTTGAATAATGTCTAGTGGCAGGAACAATGTCCACTGATGTTGGACATTTAGTTTGAACAATGTCTAGTGACGGTAGACATTTATATGAACAATGACCAGTGGACATTGAAGAGCAATACTACATTAAGAATTTAAAACACATGGTTCTACATTAGAAATGTTATTATGTTTTAGTACTTTTTAGGTAAATTTTCTTTTAAAATTAGTACTCACGTATTGAATTGGACAGGAAAAATTTTAGGCCCTAAAAAATTAAAAATGAGGGCACTGTGTCGCAGTCAGGGATAGCTCACAATCTTTTTTCTCATATGTATCACTTCTATTATACATTTCCACTTTTCTTAAACTTAAAGTCAATTCAAACAAAGAGCTTTTTTGGATGACTTGAGTACTTTGTTCATGCATGCGGTTTACAACAACAATTCAGTTGAATCTCTTCAGATTAGGGTCTGGAGAAGATATGTGTATCCAAACCTTACTCCTACTCGAAACTAGAAACTAGAAAGGTTTCCAAAGACACACCATTGGCTCAAGCACCACATATATTCACGCACGCAACTTGACCCATATGTTTAAAACATAAAGCGTTGTTTGAAGATAACTTATAATGGGCGTTGAAAATTTGTAATATCGATGAATGAGCGTACATTCTGCATCTCCAAACTCGTTAACAATGTCTATTAAAGTTTTTATTCATTCTAATCAAATCTTAATTATATAAAATAGCTAATGACACAAAATTACCAAAAATTTCTTTGTTTCCATTCCACGACTAGTCCTCCACCACTTCTATTAGTGCAAGGTTATAAAGCGAATTTTCCACCCCTTCACTCAATTAAACATGTTCCCCGTCATCAGCTACCTCTTAAAACCCTAGGCTTAGTCTTGTTTTTCATAGTAACTCGAAAGTTACTCTCTTCGTCCTCTTTGCGTAAGATAATCTAAATGTAGTACCTTAAGAATACAAACAGAAACATATATGAGGGTGTGGGAGGGGTTTAATACACTTGATGGTGTTTGATAGGAGAAATTACCCCATATTTCGACAAAGAGAGTTGTGAGACTCTTCATTCAAATTTAGTGGACTACTTTTATCATTTACTCTGTATCTAGAACTAATTGTTCAATTTTCATTTTTAAAAAAATTAATCCTAAGATGAATCGTCTAAAAAATACTATGTTGTATGAAAGACATAACATGATAATTGTTGCATATATGTATCACAAAATCAATTGAAGAAGTTATTTGATATTTTAAACTCATATTTTCAAAACGTCTCTCATAAAGTGGATAGTGAATAGACGAAGAAGTACATGGTATCATAGCTAAGGGATTGAGACCCCCCCACACACATACAAATATGAGTTTGTCCTTATTTTGTCCAGCCATGCTACAACCCTTTCAAAGTTGGCACCACTAATGTTTCACAAACAATAAGTTTTCGCCAATAGCAATTACTCGTGAGAAAAACAGCTTATGATACCAATGTTGGTATCAAATTTGGTAGGTCTTTTGTCAAATCTGAATATAACGTCCAAGAAATTTGGGAAGTATATTATATAGCAAGTATCAAGTGGATCAAGCTTTCATACTTCTCTCTATTCTCTTGGCAAAATACTCTGTAGCTCTTAATTTCTGACCACACCAGTCTTCAATTCTATCTTGGGCCGTACAACTTAATTTGGTTTAGATACAACTTAATTATACCTATTATTAGTGATATATGGCCATTAATGATATTATATACCAGAGTAACAATATTTGTATTACTGGTGTACAATTTTTTTTACAAATTATATAGTAATATAGATTTAATACAAAAATTGTTATTAAAAAGAAATTTTAACACAATTGACAACTATGGACCATTTTAAAAATTACTATAGCAATCAACCAATTTAAAGAATCAACGTAGAAAAATTACTAAAAAAGAATATGACGTCATACAAGACTAATAGTGTATTAATTATATAGATTTTCTATTTTACACCAATGATACAAATTTTATTACTCTGGTATATGATTTTGTTGATAGTTGTACTTGTATTAGTTGTATATCACCGTTGCTAATATTATGTTAAAGTTAGCATTATCATTTTCTACGTATGCGTTAATATTTTCCATTTTAATATATATTATTAATAAATATTTCAAAATGTAATATCAATTGAAAATTCTATCTTCTAATGAAGTCAAATTCTAGTAATACAATTTTTATTCCACTTTATTAAAGAACAAAAATAAATTTGATCTCACAAACGCGTAGCCAATCCAGATGGGCCGGTCCGGTACCCTTAAAGTAGGGGCCTCTTTCGCCCGAAGTAACAGGATTCATCTTCAACCGTCGACTCAGTCTCCATCAAGATCAACGGTTCAGATTTCGCGTATTAGGGTTTCGAACATTCTGGAACTTCCACTCCCAGATCTCCGCTCTCCGCTCTCCAGTATAAATCCTCGCTTTCAGCACGCTTTCTTCCTCATTGTAAACCCTAATTACTTCAGACTTCAATCTCGTTAAATCTATCACACAGACGATAAACTTTGCGAAGAAAGATGGCCGGAAAGGGCGAAGGTCCGGCGATCGGAATTGATCTAGGAACAACATACTCCTGCGTCGGAGTCTGGCAGCATGACCGCGTGGAGATCATCGCGAACGACCAAGGGAACAGGACGACGCCGTCATATGTCGCATTCACTGACAGCGAGCGTCTCATCGGTGATGCCGCCAAGAATCAGGTCGCCATGAATCCTACCAACACTGTCTTCGGTAAGATTTCTCCTCTGTCGTTTTACCTGAGGATATTTACGTATGCGCTTGTTATTATCAGAATGTTTCTGTTATCTTCGTGTTTTCGTTATTCAGCTGATCTGCATCCATACATGATATACTCGGGATTTAATTTTTTCTTTGTTTTCTAGATCTAAAGCATCCTTTAGCCGTGATTCAATTTTTGATAGTGTTTTTAATGGATACAGATTTAGTTTGTCTTATGTAGAGGATATGATTTGTTTTATCTAAATGGTTGGAATTTCTATTCTTGTTACAGTTAAGAACTTTTGGATCAGTGATGTAAATTTCGTCATCTGATTACTTTATTTAGCTGAGACTCCATATTGAGCTGTGTAGTCCCCATAATTCATTATATATCCACGCACGAAGTATATATGTATGTTTATATGCTTGTCGATCATGTTCTTACTCGTCACTAATCAACAATTTGTAACAGTTGTTATCTTTCTTGAGGCTCATCATATGAAGCTAGGTGAATTTTATGCAAAACACAAATGTTTAGTCTTGGATTTTACAATACTTTTGCCTAATTTGCCAAGGATTTCTATGAAAAGTTTGCAATTTTCTTCTTTGAACAAAGTTCTAATGCCTTTTTGTTTTGGCATCAGAGGGTTTTAAGTATGTTATATGGGAGTAATGTCAATGTATCCCAATATCTTGTTCTTTGTTGCTACAATTTGGTTGATTTATTCCGATAATATTGCAGATGCGAAGAGATTGATTGGGAGAAGGTTCACTGATACAACTGTGCAGAATGACATCAAGTTGTGGCCCTTTAAGGTCATCTCTGGTCCTGGTGATAAGCCCATGATTGTTGTCAACTACAAGGGCGAAGAGAAGCAGTTTGCTGCCGAAGAAATCTCGTCTATGGTGCTCATCAAGATGAGGGAGATTGCTGAGGCTTACCTTGGCAACACAGTCAAGAATGCCGTTGTAACTGTTCCTGCTTACTTCAATGACTCTCAGCGTCAGGCAACAAAGGATGCTGGAGTCATTGCTGGTCTTAATGTTATGAGGATCATCAATGAACCCACGGCTGCTGCCATTGCTTACGGTTTGGACAAGAAGGCAACTAGTATTGGGGAGAAGAATGTGTTGATCTTTGATCTTGGTGGTGGTACCTTTGATGTCTCTCTCCTCACAATCGAGGAGGGTATTTTTGAGGTGAAGGCCACTGCTGGTGACACCCATCTTGGTGGTGAGGACTTTGACAACAGAATGGTCAACCACTTTGTTCAGGAATTCAAGAGAAAGAACAAGAAAGATATCACCGGAAACCCCAGAGCACTCAGGAGGCTGAGAACATCTTGTGAAAGGGCAAAGAGAACTCTTTCCTCCACTGCCCAGACCACAATTGAGATTGACTCTCTCTTTGAGGGTATTGATTTCTACTCCACCATCACCCGTGCCAGATTTGAGGAGCTGAACATGGACCTCTTCAGGAAGTGTATGGAACCCGTCGAGAAGTGTTTGAGAGATGCCAAGATGGACAAGAGCTCAGTCCACGATGTTGTCCTTGTCGGTGGATCCACCAGAATTCCCAAGGTTCAGCAATTGTTGCAAGATTTCTTCAATGGCAAGGAGCTCTGCAAGAGCATCAACCCTGACGAGGCTGTTGCCTATGGTGCTGCAGTCCAAGCTGCCATCTTGAGCGGAGAGGGTAATGAGAAGGTCCAAGACTTGCTTCTCTTGGATGTCACCCCACTCTCACTTGGTCTGGAAACTGCCGGAGGAGTCATGACAGTCTTGATCCCAAGGAACACCACCATCCCAACCAAGAAGGAACAAGTATTCTCCACCTACTCCGACAACCAGCCCGGTGTCTTGATCCAGGTCTATGAAGGTGAGAGGACTAGGACAAGGGACAACAACCTGCTCGGAAAGTTTGAGCTCTCCGGCATCCCTCCTGCCCCTAGGGGTGTCCCACAGATCACCGTCTGCTTTGACATCGATGCCAATGGCATCTTGAATGTCTCTGCGGAGGACAAGACCACAGGCCAGAAGAACAAGATCACCATCACGAACGACAAGGGAAGGCTCTCCAAGGAGGAGATTGAGAAGATGGTGCAGGAGGCTGAGAAGTACAAGTCGGAGGACGAGGAGCACAAGAAGAAGGTGGAGGCGAAGAACGCCCTTGAGAATTACTCTTACAACATGAGGAACACCATCAAGGACGACAAGATTGGGTCCAAGCTCTCCCCAGCCGACAAGAAGAAGATTGAGGATGCCATTGACGAGGCCATCCAGTGGCTCGAGGGGAACCAGCTTGCCGAGGCGGATGAGTTTGAGGACAAGATGAAGGAGCTGGAAGGCATCTGCAACCCCATCATTGCCAAGATGTACCAGGGTGCTGGCGGCGGCATGGGAGAGGGCATGGATGAAGATGGCCCTATTCCTTCCGGTGGCGGCGCTGGACCCAAGATTGAGGAGGTCGACTAAGTTTGTTGGTGTTCGCATGGTCTACTGTGTTTTTACATGCTCTTTCAATTCCTCTAGAACATTTGTGTTTTTATTAGTGACTCTGTTGTGTTTTTCAAGTTTTGTTATTTCTTGCGTTGGATTTTTTTCAAGGTTTTGTTCTTTTTTTTTTAAATCTGGATAATGTAGACAGATTTTGCGGGGTATTTATCAGTACTTTTGGATATTTTTTTTGTATGTGGTCTAAATGAATGCATTATGCAATTTTAGGATGAAAATCGTCGGTTTGAAAAACAGTACACAATTTTCAATTATTTTGTTATTGAAAACAGTCTAATTTTATTTTGTAAAAAATTCCTTCAACCTCATCATTCAACATATTGGAAGTCACTTGCAAGTGATAGAAAAATCCCATGGCTTTAAATTGTTTTAAACAAAGCGGAAAACAATTAACAACTCATAGTTACACTTTTAGGGAAAAAATGGGGAATTAACCCAAGGGTACATTAAGCTTTCACATACACATACATAATGTATTTTTGCATAGACATTATGTTTTGTGTGTCTGCATGATGAACTAATGGAGTATTGCATTTTGGTGTACCCTTAACATTGCTCAAAAAATGTTGAGGAGCATTGATGAAAGAATTAGAATATAACATCTATATTACCTTATTTATAATTGAAGAGAAACGAAAAATAGAATACATATATTTTGTGACAGAACATAAATTTTAAATGGTTACTAAAAAGTTAGAATAAAACCGTGTATTTTGGTATTCATAAAGTTACTCTTCAATTTGTTTTGACGTAAATTTTCAAATATTAAACATTCATATTATAAAATCTATTAAAATTTCAAATTAGAGGTTTCTTGAGGATAATGTATGATTACTTTGATGTACCCAATAGTGACCTTTTATATTAAATTCTAATTTTACAAACAAAATCTGTCTAATTTCACAAACAAGTTTTTTACTTACGTGAGATCCAGATTAGCCTTTGGTATACATCAATTTTTTCATGTGAAAAGGGTAATGCTTGACGCGCATACTTCACATCGAGGTCTTTACACTAATGACAAATGCACCGTATAGACATAAACACATTGTCTATAAATTATTTTAAAATAAAACTTGATCTATAATTTTTTGTAAAAAGGCAATATTTTGCAAACATGACAATATTTAAGAAATTGGATCGATGATTCAATTAAAAAGCTTACTGATTAGTGTCTCAACCTATTTGAATAGTTTAACTACCAAAAAAAATTACTAGTTCAACTAGTCTCAAATAATAGTGATAATATTTTTTAAATAAAAAAGAAATACATGTTACAATATCTATTTCTAATATCTACTATAAATATAATCATGTGTGAAACTCCATATTCAACATATGACATTTTAAGAAATATTTGCACTAAATAGCACTTAAACTGTTTTATTTCCTAAATAGCACTTAATAATGTCCATAATGTCCAGTGATGATAAATATTTGCTTGAATAATGACTAAAAGTGCTACGTTGAGAAGAAAAACACATGTAGTGCTATTTAGGGATAGTCATTATGTTTTAGTGTTATTTAAGTAAATTCTCCATATTTTAAATATACAATACATAATTTTTGCTTACATAATTTCAATCAAAATTTGAAAACAAAAATAAAAAATCTAGTTTTGCTTTTCTAGGAAACAAAATTAACAATATTAAAGTTGATTGAACAAAAAAAAAACGAAAATAAATGTTGAGAAAGATTTCTTGAACACTGAAAAATGTCTGTGACTTCCTCCCTGCTTAAACACTGAGCACAACCTGAAAATGTTGAGAAGGTTTCTTTTACGTGCTTCGCCGCAACTCCGTTCCTCGCTCTCCATTGCTTCGCCGCCTTCACTTCACCGTTCTTCTTCTCCATCTCGATCTTTCTCATCATCTCCGGAATCCACAGGCAGTAATTTCGTCGAACAGTTGGAGGATGCAATTGCCGATACTCCTCCGCCGTCGGCTAAAATCGCAATCGACCGCTCCGGCTTATGCAACCCTCCTGGTAATTGGGTTATCCGCTCACTTTCGATTTCATATTTGTTGTTTTTAATCGTACAAGTTCAGTCGCCGTTGTAAACTGCAGAGCATTCTCACGAGCCGTCGTCGGATTCTGAGCTGGTCAAGCATCTCAAAAGCATTATCAAGGTTTTAACATTATTTTCAATTTCCATTTCCGTGCATTGCAGCATCCATTTGGTAGTACTGATTTAGGGGGTTTTTGCCCGTGAAAAATGTTGAATTCTTGAAATGATATCTGAGGGTGAAATGCATTTCCGTTATGAATCAAATGACATTGAAACCCAAAACTCTGTCTTGTTTCCGATGTTAATACTTGTATCTGAGCATGTTGGGGTGGTTGAATTTTCAGTTCAGAGGAGGTCCGATCACAGTTGCAGAATACATGGAAGAGGTGTTGACGAACCCAAAGGCAGGGTTCTATATAAATCGCGATGTGTTTGGTGCAGAAGGCGATTTTATAACCTCCCCTGAAGTAAGCCAGATGTTTGGGGAGGTAATTCTTCTTCTCTTTTGTTGTATACTCTGTATTACGTACTCATTGCTACACTGCTTGTTGTGTGGGGGAAGCATTCTTGTAAAAGTTCTCCGATTAATCCCCTTCCCTATTTCACTTAGATTCATGCACAATCTCAACCAGTAGGTGCGCCAGGCGTCATTTCTCATCCTGGCGGCTGCCTTTAACTTTTACAATGTTGGGGAAAAACATACACCTTCTCTGATGCTGAATTCTTCTGATTACTTCATTTTTTTTCTAGATGATTGGTGTTTGGGCAATGTGTCTCTGGGAGCAAATGGGAAAACCAAGTAAAGTAAATTTGGTTGAGCTTGGACCGGGCAGAGGAACTCTCATGGCTGATCTTCTGCGGGTATAATGGACAAATCATATATGCACTCTAAGATAATACCTTTGGCATATGGGATCTTTTATTGCTGCATAGTGTAATCCCTCTACTTTGAGACAAAAACACAGACCAATATTGATGCTTAAACTACTCCAAACTGTGTCACTCTACCAAATTTACCTTCCATAATCATTCATCATTTACGAAGCACCTTTCTACATATCTTTTCATCTTTAATAAGGGCAAATATGAAAAAAAAAACATTAAGTGTTTCATTGTAGTTGTGGAATGGCTTATAATGAACACCACTAATTCCTTCTAAACTATGACTTATATCAAAGACCTGAGAGAATATTCAGTAAAAGTTATGAAAACCATACTTTGCAGGGTACATCAAAGTTTAAGAACTTCACAGAATCACTGCATGTACACCTGGTTGAATGTAGTCCAGCTCTGCAGAAGCTTCAATATTGTGCCTTGAAGTGTCAAAATAAGAATGATACTGCTGGAAATGTTGAGGAGCATATCACTAGCACACTAAAAGGAGCTCAAGTATCATGGCATGCTACATTGGAGCAGGTTCCAACAGGATGTAAGAAATTGCCAATTACTTCATTAAATTTAAAAACTCTCCATTACATTGATGAGGGCTGGTTCATTTATCATTGAGTCCATGTGCGAATATGACACGATTGGACCTTTGATAAACAATGAACAAATTATGCTTCAATACAACTTTAATATGGAATCTGATCTTTATTAAATTCAATATAGTAAAGATAATGCATCTTTAATTTTAAAAAAAACAATACACTCTTGAAAACAGCCTCTCTACTTTCAAGTAGGAGTAAACTCTATGTACACCCCCCAAACCCTACTCTCGTGGGATTCAATGAAAGCATATAGCTCTTTGTGCATGTTTTGGTGAAATTTGATCGTCAAGCTCACAACACTGGACATATGTATTTAGTGCAATAAATCTGGAAATTTGTCTTTCTACAATGGATGGCTTCTCTTGTGTCTCCCTGAACATATTTTTGCATGTCTCTTTGTACATTGATATATTTGTCTCTTTGTGTATTCGAAGCATCATACTGTAGAATTTTCTTTTCATTGTTCACGGTTATGATAGGTTTTCAAATTTTCTTTTTCTTTTATTCTTTTCAGCACCCACTATCATCATTGCGCATGAATTTTATGATGCCTTACCAGTGCATCAATTTCAGGTTTGTATTATCATCTTTGACTTTAAGGGTTGGTCAGTATAATCATCTGGCAAAAAGCATGTGCAGCATGTTCCAATTGCTTGAAAATGATAACTCTATTCTAAAACTTTAAAATAAGTCGACTTTCAAATTTTCACTTTGAGTGGATGTCCACATTTTGTATGCCATGGTGCACCGGAGTTGGACTCTATATTTCACCTTGGGCTAAAATCCACCATTGGTCCTTCAACTTTATCAGTTGTGCACGATTGGTCCTTCAAGTTCCAAAAGTCCATAAATAGTCCTTCAACTTTATGAGTTCTGCACCATTGGTCCTTCAAGTTTCAAAAGTCAATAAGTAGTCCTTCAGGTACACGTTAGCCCTCCAGATAAGTTCTTTTGACAGTAAATATTAAAAGTTAAACGAAATACTAGTTTCATATAATACGAGTAAATTCCACTAGGTACGGCTACTTCGTATTATATGGAGCTAGTATTCCATTTAGCTTTTAACATTTACTGTCAAAAGGACTTCATCTGGAGGGTTGACGAGTACTTGAAGGACTACTTATGCACTTTTAAAACTTGAAGGACCAATCATGCATAACTTATAAAGTTGAAGGACTATTTATGGACATTTAAAAATTGAAGGACCAATCGTGCACAATTGATAAAGTTGAAGCCCTTGAAGGACCAATGGTGGAGTTTAGCCTTCACCTTGTGTTTTAGCTTATAAATTTCCTTAAACAATACTCCATCCTGAGGAAAGAAGTGGGCCATGTTTCAAAACTACTCCCCCCCAAGGGACTCTTATTTCATTAAAAGATGTTAATTCTATTTGAATTCAATCTTTTTCCTCAAATGATGTGTTTTAGACATGTTATGTACTGTATTTTAAATTTAGTCAAGTTTTTTTTTAAATAAGTTGGATTAATGATTTACAAAAGTTGCAACTTGTACCTTACCAAGATTTTAAAGTTGCATCTAGATGAAATTACGAAACAAGATTTTTTTTGGCATAGAGGGAGTAGTTATAGTAGTCTCTCTCAGTTTATGTTATATTTCAGTTCACCATTTGATGTCCTTGGCATTACATCTTCATTCTTGAATGCGGTCATCAGAGCCTAGACTTGCTTATGTGATGCATTAGGACAAA